TGCTTCAGCCTCTCAAGTGCTGAGATTACAAGTGCAGTTATTTTTCTCCTTAAGGCATGTTTTTGAAAATGTAGGAAATGTAAATGAGTTTTTGTGTACTTACTTTTAGCTGTTACCTTGTCTTGACAAAAACACAAATCTATACAAACAGAAACAACAGAGCAGGTTGTTTGGGTAATACATGTTTCACTTGTATATGCCCAGGCTGTCACTTGGGAGAGCACAGAACTGGTAATAGTATTTTCTATGGGAGGAGGACTAGGGTAAGAGGGGTAGGAATACTGAACTTTTCATCCTGTGCCATTTTATATGGGTTGAATTTTTACCCTACACCTGTTAGTTCTTTAAAATATAGTTTGGAGGCCAGAGGTATAGCTCAGTGATAAAACGTGTGCTTAGCTAGTATACACAAGTACCTGGGTTCCATTCACAGCAACACACAAAGGTTTAGATGACTTTCCTGTCACTTTCTACATGTTCAGAGATCTTTTCAATTTCTGAAAGACTGAGTTTTAATTGTAAGTAAATAAATTGTTATTGACTTAGGGAAGGGATCATTTGAATCTTTTTTGATAGGTTGAAGGATTTTTTCAGATTATGGTCTTAAAAATAAACTTGCTACCTTGGTATTATGGCTTTCTTTCTGTACTCTGCCCTTTGGATAGGAAAATGAACCCAGCCCTGATTTCTGAGATAACTCTACCTTTCTGTGCCTGTGTGAAAGGTAATGCTGGGATACACCCACACTGCCACCATATGCTGTGCGGCCATGCTGGGACTGGATTATTTATGAAGTGCTGCTGTGAGGTGCAGGAGTTAAGAGAACTAAAAACATAGGTACACTGAAAACTGAACTGGTCTTAATATTGAAACCCACACCGTGCCCTGATCTGGGAACTCTTAGGGTGAGATATTCGTGGATTGTGGCTTTCACCTGGGTTATCCAGTCATGATTTGGCAAACATCTCTTTCTCACCCTGTTTATGAATTTAAGGATAATAGTGGTAGGTGAAGAAGCAATTTTTGTTTTCCTTTTCAGCTTTGATAAATCCAGCTCAGATTTTTTAAAAGTTCTGATGATTTGCTGGGATGCTTATCAACCTACAATTCCCAGTCTGCTTTCACATCCTCAGAATAGCCCCATAGCTGTTTGTGGGTACCTAATTTTTGGTTTAGGTTTGTTTGTAAATATAGGCAGCAAGAACAGTTGGTGAAGTTTCTGCTAGTACTCCAATGGTATTGAAAGTTTCCAACAACAAATCCCACTTTGGTGCCTGCCCTGACCATCAGGTAATAATCAGGCCCTCAGCAGGATTTTGGGGTTGGCTGTAGGTTTGCTCAAAATAAACACTGGTAACTTTTGGAAAGACAGGCCTGGCCCCAGGAATGGTAAAATGGCATTCTTGGAAGGTCTTTAAGGTTGTTGCCTCCGTGGGGACGGCTGGTAGAGAAGCCCCTGATGCCCCTCCTCCCTGGGCAGGGAGGTGAAAGCCCACTCCCTGTGGCCCCTGTGGTCATCTGAGGCTCTGTGGGCGGCTCTCAGCCACTTCTTTTCAGGTGCCTCCAACTGATATTTACAAAAGCCAAACCCCTTCATCACCAAGGCTACTGGTTACCACATGATTGTCAGAGAAGAAAAATACAAATAATCCTCTCAACAGCTAAATGACAAATATGCAAAGTATTCCAGACCAGGTCTTAGAAAATGTATTGGAAAGAAAGACAAGAGGCTGGCGGGGGAGAAGCTGTTCAAAAAGACCTTGCATCTTTAGCCCCAAGCACCCCGCTCCCCTACTCGTGCATTGCGGTTTAAAAGCCAGAAAAGATTTCTCCTCAAGATCCAAAATGGTGGCTCACATCATTTTATCAGAGCTTGGCTCGATTTTGTTAATCCAGTTTAAGTTCTTTTTGATGAGGTTGTGTGCTGGGATTCATGTAATCTTACTGTTTATGATTAATGGTAAGCTATGGTGGGGGTTTTCCTATTCCTTCTTTTTAGTTAGGGACATTTCACTTAGAATTTTATGGGCTCAGATGTAACTTAGTGGTAGAGCACTTGCCTTGCACACAGTGGGCCCTGGGTTTCATATCCCCAGCACTGCCACAAAACAAACAAACAAAAAGAGTAGCTTAAACTTTCCTCAAAAAGAATTTAAGTTTGAGTCCTCCTGTCTCTCTGTGTTACAAAACACAAATGAAGATGAATTAGGAGAGGTTTGGGGGGTGGGTTGTTTTCCTGGCAGTACTGGGGTTTGAACTCTGGATCTTGGGCTTCCTAGGCAAGCATTTTACCATGTGAGATGCTCCACCCCTTTTTGCTTTAGGTATTTTATAGATAGGCTCTTGCATTTTTTCCCAAGGCTGGCCTGGACCGCAGCCTTTCCCTCTCAAAGAATCCCACTTTGCTAGGATCACAGGCTCATACCACCACATTTGGCTTGTTGATTGAGATGGAGGTCTTGCTAACTTTTTGCTGGACTGGCTCTGGACTGAAATCTTCCACCTTTTCCCCTCATCTGGCCTCCCACGGAGCTGGGATTACAAGTGTGAGTCACCTCACCTGTCTTAGAGAGAGTTTAAAGCAGAAATCTTAGTGGAGGAGAAAGAAGAGGAGTTTTGGGGAAATGCGAACTGATTTAGAACCTAGCTGTACCCTGTGCCACCTTGTATAATCGATCTTGTTTGTGAGCTCTAATTTCCTTATTTGTAAAGTGGATATAATATCCACTTAACATCATTATTGTGAGACTTAAATGAGGGTGTCTCTCAAGTGTGCACAACACCAGGTATGCCATAGGTGCTATTCAAGTGTTAGGTTTCTACTTTGCTCTACCCGTTTCTTTTCTCTATAGAATCATGCAAGTAGTGGGGCAGCAGTCTTCCTTTTGAGCAAGCTGCAGCTGAAGGTGAGAGAGGAAGTTGTGCTCATTTGGACAAAACCATCATTTCCTGAAAGTCCACAGCCATTGGCTGTTAAATAGGTCACTGAGAAAAACCCATCAGAATGTAGGGTCACTGTTTGCAAAGTGACTTGTGGATGGTCCCTGTGAGCCAGGGTTAGACCTGTTAGTCCCCAATGGCCCTGTTGGTAATCGGGCTCGCGGTGCACCAGTGGTGTTGGGTTCCCAAGTGGAAAATGAATGCTAAGATTTCTTTTTCCTGAAGTTGGTCTGTCAACAGAATGGGGCTGGTACAATGTCATTTGCCATATCTGGAAGTTGTTTTCAGGTGCCTGTGTGAAATACTTGAATGATGCTTAAAATGTTCCTTTATCTGATATTAAGCCAGAAGAAAATGCCTTCTTTCCCATTTCTCATTTTTTTTTTCAAATCATGGCAAAATCTATCATAAAATTTATTTATTTATTTATTTAACTTTCCTTCATTTGCAGTGCTGGAGATTGAACACAGGAGCTTGCACATGCTAGGCAATCACTCTACCAGTGGACTCCACCCCAGCCCCAAATTTGCCATTTTTAACAATCTTAAATTGCATTATGTACATCAGTTCACACTGTGTGCATTCACCACCATCTATCTCCAGAACCTTTTTGTTTTCTCCAACTTGCACTAGTTTCAAACATTAGCTCCCCATTCCCTCCCTCCCCCAACCACCATTGGGACATCCACCATTCTATTTTCTGTCTTGATACTTTGACCACTCTAAGTACCTCATATAAATGGAATCATATATACAGTATTTGTCATTTTGTGACTCTTTTATTCCATTCCTCTTTTAAAAACTGAATTTTGTATGTTGTATTTCTCCCTGGCAGGCTTTATTCCTTTCTACAAACTCTTGATTTTCTTTGAGATTTAAATTTGCCTACTACCTTTTTAGCTGTTTGTATATAGTCTGTATTTTTACTTTATTGAAGAAAAATACAAGATTGGAAGTAATTTGATGGGATGTTTATTTTCTTTTTCTTTTTTTTTTTGGTAGTAGTTCTGGGGATGGATTCCAAGGCTCACAGCTGCTAGGCAAGTGCTCTGTGTTCTACCACTGAGCCGCACCCTCAGCCATTTTGTTTGTATTTTTGTTTTGAGACAATGTCTTGCTAACTTTTGCCCAAGATGGCCTCAAACTTTCTGTCCTCTTGCTTCTGCCTTCTCAGTGGGTAGGATTACAGACACGTGCCACCACGCCTGGGTTTTTCTTTTCTTTTTATTTATTTTTTGAGACAGGGTCTTGCCTGTTGCCCCAGGCTAGTCTCACACTTCTGGGCTCAAGTGATCATCGTGTCTCAGCGTTTGAGTAGCTGGGTCTATAAGCATGTATCTCCATGCCTAACCCCTTATTTTTATTTATTTTGTTTTGTTTTTATTTTTTGGTGGCTCTGGGGTTTGAACTCAGGGCCTCACATTTGCTAGGTAGGCGCTCTACCACTTGAGCCACTCCACCAGTCCTTTTTTTGTGTTGGGTGTTTTTGAGATAGGGTCTTGGGAACTGTTTGCCCTGGGCTGGCTTCACACTGTAATTCTCCTGTCTCTGCCTTCTGAGTAGCTAGGGCCACAGGCATGAGCCACTGGCGTCTGGTCAGCTCTTTATTTTTAGAAATAGCACCTTGTTAGATCAAGATTTTAGATGATCGTAAGGACTTGGGGTGCAGCTCAGTGGCAGAGCCCTTGAGTAGAATGCTCAAAGTCCTGGGTTTGATCTTTTTCACTACGAAAAATCAAAATTATATGCTAAGCACAATATCAGAATCTATCTGTGCCTAGAGCATAGGCAAAAAAATCTCAGAAATGATAGTACAGGGCTGAGGATGCAGCTCAGTAGTGCAGTGCTTGCCTAGCATGCTTGAGGCCCTGGCTTCATCCTCAGCACAGAAAAGTAGAGAAATAATGGTACACGTTTAACTCTCATGACCCACCTCACCTACTACTCTCCAAAGAGAAAGCCTAAGAGTGCATTCATAGAGAGGGGAGCAAGTAACGAGATCATGAACACTGTTGTAGGCTCTTCCATCAAAGGTAACCTCTCAACCTTTCTCTCTTTAGGTGGTACACCTTAAAATCCAAGCCAGGAAAGAAGGACAAAGAGCGAGGAGAAATTGAGGTGGATATCCAGTTTATGAGAAACAATATGACAGCCAGCATGTTCGACCTGTCCATGAAAGACAAGCCTCGGAATCCATTTGGAAAACTCAAGGACAAGATCAAAGGGAAGAATAAAGATAGTGCATCAGATACAGCTTCTGCCATTGTCCCCAGTGTGACACCCTCAGTTGACAGTGATGATGAGTCTTTTTCAAAAGACAAGAAAAAGAAATCAAAGATCAAGACCTTGTTTTCCAAGTCAAATTTGCAGAAAACATCCCTTTCCCAGTCCATGTCTGTCCTGCCAACTTCGAAGTCAGACAGAGTGCTGCTCCGTCCTGGAGACGTTCAGTCCCGGTGGGAGGATGACGATAACGAGGATGAATCCTTCTCTGCCTCGGACAGTGAGTTCCCACTTCTTCTTACTTGGCCTACTTAGCTTAGCCTACTTTGCTTGGAGAGAGAAGCAGCAGGCAGATCTTCAGAGAAAGGTTTGAATTCAGCGTGGTTACGGCACTGATGAAGGTGTTGGTGGTGGGGATGGTGACAAGTCATCTTAGTTGTAAGATGTACATCTGTAGCTGATGTGCAGAGTTCCGGGTTTGGAGCTCAAGAATGAGTATATCCATCCAAGTGCTTGTTTCTTTGTTTCGTTTTATTTTTTTTTAAGGATAAAACCATGGAACCTTGTTGTAAATCTGATATTTAATGTTTATTAGATAATTATTGAACTCCTATTATGTGCCTAAGCCCTATTGGATGTATATATCCTTAATGGAAGCTAAGGAATTCAGTTCTTTGAGTTAGTTGTTTTGAATTTCAGTTTACTTATTCATTTTTGAGACAGAGTCTTGCTGTGTGGCCCAGGCTGGCCTTAAACTTGCAATCCTCTTGTACCTGCCTCCTGAATGCTGGTATTACAGGTGTGCACCACCGTGCCCAACCTTGAACTTCAGGTTCAATGACTAAGTCCCTGCTAGCGGACAGATTCTGCTATCCTACCAAGGGCAGCCCTTCTCATTGGTTTCACACAGGATTTCCAAACCTGAGCACTGGTTACTGTTTGGCCAGATGACTCTTTGCTGTGGGGGACATTCCCGTGCATTGTAGGGTGTTTAGCTGCATCCCTGGGCTCTACCTCCTTTCAGTCGTGACAATTAAAAATGTAGCCAGACATTAACAAGTGAGTCCTCTATTTTACAAACCACTTGTTTAAATAATTATTTATTTTCAGTGCTGGAAATCAAACCCAGGGCTTTGGGCATGTTAGGCAAGCAGCCTACCCTGAGCTCTATCCCCTACCTTTACTCTTTTAATTTCTTATCCCCTTTCTATTCTTTGTTTTTCTTCCTAGCCATGTCCCAAAAGAGAGCAGCAACTGCAGACCCTAAGCAACTGAACCAGATCAACTTTAGCCTTCCCAAGAAGGAAGGACTCTCCTTCCTTGGGGGTCTTCGGTCCAAGAATGATGTTCTTTCCCGCTCTAACGTCTGCATCAATGGGAACCATGTTTACATGGAGCAGCCAGAGACCAAGGACAGCAGCCCTTCTAATTCTCCATCCCCCCAGGGCTTCAGGAAGAAGCATTTGTTCTCATCCACCGAAAACCTGGCTGCTAAGTCTTGGAAAGAGCCTGGGGAAGGAGGCAGCATGTCTTCGGAAAGGCGGCTATCTGAGACCTCCACCAAGGACTCTCCAAAGTCCATGGACTCCGTGAAGTCCATGACTCTGCCGTCCTACCGACCACTCGCTGGTGGGGGCACTAAGGAAACCATGGCTCCAGCAAACTTGGAGGCTGCAAAAGAAACCAAAGACAGCAAGAAGGCAGAGAGCAAGAAGTCCTCTTTGCTTTCTCTGGTGACCGGAAAGAAGGACGTTGCTAAGGGCAGTGAGGGTGAAAGCCCCTTGTCTGACCTGGGGAAGGAGAAGGAAGGCACTCTTACAGAAGCCCAGCCCAGGGAGGAAGACCTTGTGAGAAGGTCTGAGAGAGATGCTGTGGCTCTTGCCTTCAGCCAGGGCAACTCCCTCAATCCCTTTGAAGAGGTGCAGATCTCAGAACCTGAAGCTGGACCAGAGTCCAAGTCTGAACCCAAGCCACCGGTTCCCGCTGCAAGGGCTCCGCAGACCAAAGCTGTGAAGCCTCGGTGAGTCTTGGCTCTGCTCATGTAGGACCTCTCCTCTCCCTCTGTGGGACTCAGCAGGGCCTCTGCTGGAGCAAACCTGGCCTGTCCCACAATGGTACTTACATGTGACAAAATTTTGCTAGTCATCTATTTTAACCAGTCCCTGTTGGCTGCCTGGCCTGGTATGGCCTACATAAAGGGCAGTGATGTTTCCCAGCCCAAAGTCACAGCCCAGCAGGCATGGTTTGTCCGTCTTAGTAAGCCAATCAGGCCCCTGTGAGAGGCAGATTGTGAGCGTGTGAGCTGGGAATACAAGGCTGGGCTTGTGGAATGTGCAGAACCTGTATATGAGTTTTTAGTGCACATTCCCCTGTGAGGAAGATGTCTTTCCTCCATGCACCATGGCGTTGGTTTGCTGGCATGAGAGACCCTCGGTCTGCTCTTGAGTGTGCCTGTGACAGTTCTCTGTGTTTCCTCTGTACCTGGTTGTAAAAGTCTTCCTGAGCCTTGAGGGACTTTGGCTTTTCCATGTAACTCCAATCACACACAATGTTTCTGTGTCTGGGGGTGAGAAACCTTTTTTTTTTTTTTTTGAGATTCTACTTATTTCACACCCACACCCACACCATCTTCCTCTTCACAGTCTGTGTCTGTTGCCTTGTGTTACATCTTTTACTGCTTTGAACTTTTTAGATGCTTTTCGCTCTGCCATAATCAAGGCTTTGTATAAATCACCAAAAGGAACTGTAGGTTGTTGCTTTAGCTGGATCTTTCTGTTCCTATTGTGTGGCAGATGTGCTTGGTGATAAAAAGTATCCTTTTTAGGGGCTGGAAGCATTGCTCATTGTGTAGAGTGTGTGCTTAGCATGTACAAGGCCCCGGGTTCAATCCCCACCACCATACAAAAGTATGTTAAGGTCTTTTGTAGGATACTTCTCCAAATATAAAAAAGTTCTCTCTTTGAACAACTATTTTTACGTGTGTCATGATGCATCTGCAACTGACCTGCAGATTTTATTTTGTCCTTTTTGCAGACTGGAAGTGTCTCCAGAGGCTCAACCCAAAGCTGGGCTTCCTTATTGCCCTGACTCTCCTCTTCTTTTTTCTGGTCAGGCACCTGTCCCTTCTGAAGTGGAGACAGAGACACAGTCCTCTGAAAGTCCCTCTGTCTTCTCCTCTTTCTCATCCCACATAGCAGCTCCCATTTCCACATCCACTCCAATTGAATGCTGGCCCCCCATAGGCAAGGGTCAGGCCAGTTCTGAAGAACCAGCTTTGCTCCTTAAAGCAGATTTGCAAAAGGAGAGTGTGACATCGGTTCCAGACACTGGCTCTTCTGCCTCGGAATTGATATGCAAACAGTCACCCATCCCAGTGTGGGAAGGGATGGAAGATTGTCCAAGGAGCAAGACCAGTGAGTCAGGCACAGGGAAGGAAGCCATCAACGACGAATCCAGAAGGTCTCTCCTGGGGCAGCCTGATATGGGGCAGCAAGAACTTCTGAAGGTTTCCTCCCTGGAGCGAGAATGTGTCTCCTCACCTGAAAAGGCCCCAGAAGTACCACTTGCATTTTCACTCAGCAGTGGTGGAATCACCACTGCCAGGAAGTGTCCCATTGTGGGAGACACGGACTCTGAGGGTCAGTCTAGGTCTTTCGTGGAGAACAGAGCTAAGGGTGGCGGAATGACTCCCACAACCAAGGAAGCAGTGCCCTCCCTTCAGATGGGAGAGGCAGGCCCCCCTCTTGATGCTGTGATGCAGAAGCATGAAGAGATGGATCTGAATGTCAGTGAAGGCCCAAAGAAAGCCAAGAAGCGTGTATCTTTTTCTGAGCAGCTCTTTATGGAGGAGGAGGTAGAGAAAAGTCATCCCCAGGAGCTGACTTGTGAGGGAGCTGCTGCTGGAACCACATCCAGTGCAGAGCCTCCCAGCTCTCCCCACGCAGATGACGCAGAGAATCAGCCCGTGACCACAGAAGATCAGGTTGTCCCTGCTTGTGAGGGGAGTTTCTCAGAAGGCTCCATGAGTGTAGCAAGCTTGGCGAAAGGCACCCCACTCTTTAAGACTGAGGAGGACAGTACCCTTATGTCTCAGTATCAGAGCAAAGCCGGTGATAATGAAGGCCTGCTGTCTGAGCCCCTGAGTGGCCTTCCATCTGCCTCAGATGTGAAGTCTCCCATCATGGCTGACCTGAGCTTGTCCCTTCCTTCCATTCCTGAAGTGGCATCAGATGATGAGACAGTAGATGAGGCTGAAGACAACGGGAAGACAGCAAAGCTAGCAGCACCGGAAGCAGGCATATCACCTCCCTGTCCTGAGAAAGCAAAGGGGCTGAGTGAAGGGGCACATGGGTCCCTGCCCAAGGAGGGTCTGTGTGACTTCAGTCCTAAAGCCCCCAGAGCAGCTCCTGAAGACCAGACAGCAGCTTTAGGGATGCATAAACCACATCTTGGCAAGAACTCAAGCATGGATAAGCAGTTGCCAGGCTCTAGCACTGGTGAGGAAGAAAAGCTAAAGGGAAGCGGGAGGCCCAGTCAGCCTCCTGGCTCGACCCTGGACTCTCCTGTGCCTAGCCCCTCCCTTTCTGAGACCTTTCCTGCCATACATTCTTTCCCCAGCTCTCCACATTCCCACACTCACCACACCAGTACAGCAGAATCTCAAAAAAAAGCAACAGCAGAGGGCTCCGCTGGTAAAGTTGAAAATTTTGGCAAGAGGAAGCCGGTTCTTCGGCCTGGGTGTCACCCTCAGAGACACATCCATTCCCAGCTCAGCCAAGCACAGGAACTGGGGCAGCCAAGCACAGGTGAGAGACGGGGAGATTGTCTTTGTAACTGGGAGAGATGTCCCCTCTTTGCTTTAACCTGTAGAGGTCATAGCTTCCCATGGCACAGAGAATCCTGATGTCACAACCTGCCTGGCTGGCTGGCAGGGCCTGTCTCATGAGGGCTGTCCCTTGTGATGGGATACCTCACGATCATGGTAGGAGGTAGCTTAGCAATAGTTCTGCACAGTCAGATTCGGAGCCCTCTGACTGCAGAAATATAGTGTGAGCAGTATCTTGAGAATCTCAGAAAGCAGTGGCGATAGAGAGGTGGAATTGTGTGGTGTTGAAAACTTTCTTTAAGCACTATTTGAAAATTATGCTTGTTCTGAACTCTTCTTACTGTGGAGTCCTAACCTCCAAGAATAAGAGACTTTTTGGTTTTGTGTTTTTGAGGGGAGGTGGTGTCGTTGAGGATTGAACCCAGGGTCCCTTGCATGCTAAACACTTACTCTGCCGCTGAGCTGCACCACAGGCCTAACAGTCTTTAACATTCTAAGGGGCTCTGTGAGAACATCAGCACACCTGGCCAAGAAAGTGCTTTGCTGGCTTTTGCATGGCTGCCTAGTCCTGCTTTTTCTCAATTCCACAGGAACTGAGACGTCACAGTGGATATTGCACCAGAGATGTGAGCAGAGTGTGAGACATTCTCCTCTCCTCTTTGTCTTCCCTGCCAGTTGCAGGGAAGGAGAGGGCAGTTCTCAGTTTTGTGGTTACAGGAAGGTTTCAGGATCCTTTTCTCCTTCTCTTTAGACTTCAACCGGTGAAGCCAATGAACACGACAGCCACCAAGATCAGTAACTCCAGCTTGGGAACTGCCACCATCATCAGTGAGAACATGATCAACGAAGCCATGATGAAGGTATGGATACGTTTTAAGCAGTTGGCATGTTAGGGATCTACAAAGCTCTCGTTTCTAGAATCTCCATGCCTAGCAGTGAATGCCTGTAGTTCCAGCTGCTTAGGAGGCAGAGGTGGGAGGATTGTTCACGCCCATTAGTTTGAGACCAGCCTGGGTGGCATAGCAAGTCTCCATCTCAAAGAAAGAAAAAAAGAATGCTAAAGCACTTCCCTAGCGTGCGCAATATGCTGGTGCTGGTCTCCAGTACCATAAGTCATCATTAGACACATCTCTGGGCAGCAGGCAATGCTGAGAGTTTCTTCGTGATATGACTGGCAGCTTTAGAATCTCTGGAAGCCCCCTGACTTTCCATTGGATGAATAATTACTTTTTCTCATATAGTTATTTATTGTTGACTTTTTTGCATGTCAGGCAACATGATTGTTACTTCTATTTATTTATTTTAATTTTAATTTTTGTATGCTAGGCAAGTACTCTATCACTGAGCTACATCCCCAGGCCCTGGTACTGTTTTTTAATGAGAGGAAAATTTCACCCACAGTCTGGCCCATTCAAATCAGATGTTTCTTTTTCCCATGTTTCCTTTTTATCTTTAAAATTCTTATTTATCAACAAGAATGCAAAATTCTTAAATTGTAATTTTTCCATAGATGGACTTGTTTTGTAATTTTATTTTCAAATAATTTCAAACAAAAAAGTTGCAAGAATAATACAAAGAATTCCTGTAAACCCTTCCTTCAGAGTTACTAATTGTTCAGATTTGTCCGGATTTGCTTTATCTCCTCCCTTCTCTCTCTCCTTTTTCTCCCCCTGTGTCTACATACATAGTTGCACATGTCACTTTTTTTCCTGACTCACTGGAAAATAAGTTGTACACACTCTGCCTTTTTTAAAACTCCTAAGTACTAGTGAATAATTCTTTTTTTTTTTTAATGGCAGTACTGGGGTTTGAACTCAGGGCCTCATGCTTACTAGGCAGACACTCTACCGCTTGAGCCACTCTGCCAGCTCTTTTTTCCATTGGGTATTTTCAAGATAGAGTCTCTGTCTAACTGTTTACCTGGGTTGGCTTTGAACTGTGATCCTCCTGATCTCTGCTCCTGAGTACCTAAGATTACAGATGTGAGCCACTGGCACCTGGCAATTAGTGAATTATTCTTAAAAGTACGGACATTCATCAAAATCTGGACATTTAACATTGATGTAACTCTGTTTTTTCATCTACAGTACATATTTCAGTTTCACTAGTTATCCCAATAGTGTTCTATTTAGTTGTGTTTTTTTCCAGTCCAAGAGCCAATCGGGGTTACTCACTGCATTTAGTTGGGATAGAACACAGGACCTCGTACATGCTGAGCACATGCTTTGCTACACCACCAACCACCTTTCTGGTTTTAAAATCAGAAGAGTTTAGAATACTGCTTTGTTACAAACTCCCTTGACTCATTATCACACAGACTGAAAGAGAAGACTTATAGAGGGACTGGTGACCTTTAGTGGGCAAGGATGTGTTACATTTCAAGTATGTGGAGAGGAACTTCCTAACTGACTACTAGGAACTGAAATCTGTAGAAATGAGTTGTTTTTCTGTTTTGTTTTGTTTTATGGTACTAGAGTTTGAACTTAGGGCTTGTGCTTGTTAGGCCAGCCCTCTACCCCTTGAGCCATATTCTCAACATTTTTTGCATTAGGTGTTTTTTGAATAGGGTCTCACTTTTACGCCCAGGCCAGCCTGGACCTCAGTCCTCCTATTTATGGGTCCCTGAGATAACGAGCATGCATTGCCACCCCCAGTGTTTTTATTGGTTGAGATGGGGTCTGGTGAACTTATCACCCAGGTTGTCCTCTAACCATGATCGTCCTGATGTCTGCCTTCTGAGTAGCTAGAATTACAGCATGAGCCACTGCACTGGCTGCTTTTGTTTTTTTTTTTTGAAAAAATAAAAATTTTTGCTGTGCTTCCATCACTTCTGAAAGCTGTTTTTTGTGTGTGCTGGGAATTGAAACCAGGACCTTGTGCATGCTGGGCCATACCCCCAGCCCCTGAGAGCAGTTTTTAAGTGTCTGAAGGCAGTTACTTTCTCCTTGTATCTTTGTCACTAGGAGCTGGGATAAAAGATTCATTGGAGGCTGGGGATCTGAGTCAAGTAAAAACACTTAGTAATCAAAACTAATTATTGCTGAAAACAAGTTAGCATCGTCTAGCCCCCTTGTCCTCTCTTCCCTTGTAGCACATGCTAACAGTGGTAAGCTTTGTTCTCAAAATTACCAGCCATTGCCAGAACGTACCTAGTATGTTTTAGCCGTAGCTTAAAGATGTGTAATTACTATAAGCTGACCTTCTTCCTTACTGGCTGGCTTCTGTGTGAGCGTTGCAGATATAAGCAGTGTACTGTCTTTCTGGAGTTAACAATATTTATCAGGAAATTGGGTCAAAGAACAGCATAAAGGTGATGATAGTGAAAGATACAATCATTTAGCAGTGTCCCATGCCTGCTTCCTTTTACTGTGAAAGGTTTTGTGGCCCTTCCTGGTATTTTGTTGCTGTTGTTGCTGGGATTGAACCAAGGGAGAAACACCACCTTTTATTTGGGAAGTTTGCAAGACACTTGACTTCCATTTTATTTACTCTTCAAAGCTCATTTAATCAGGGGCTTATCTCCTGGAACTGTCAAGAGAATAACTCACTCAAATGAAAGGCAGCTCTGCTTATTTTGCTCATGATTTGTAAACCAAGCTGCTGCCCTTCTGCTTGCCACAAGTCTCTTGGTCCTGGACCCTCCCTAGAAATATTCTGGGTAAATGTGGAAAGTTCCCTGGAGACTGCTATTGGCTTGCTGTATAATAGATGCTTTGTAGCAAGCATAAAACAGTATTTATAAAAATAACTGCTCTTTAGAATGTTGCAAAATAAGGGAGAGGTTAGGGAAAGAAATTGCATAGCTGAAGTTATGGAAAGCTAGCTGGATCTGTTGCTACAGTGATTTTTTTTTTCCTTAGCATTGTTTTAGGGCCTCTATTCTTTATAGATGATTTATAGCAGAGGAGTATATTATTTACCCAGGTGGCTGTAACACTTCCATTTGAAAATAGGAAAGCCAACTAGATCCAAAAATGTGTTATATGGAAAAAGTTGGACACACATTGATTGAATGCCTGTCATTATTGCAGCCATGTAAAAAGTAAAATCCAGTGTCCTAGTAGGAAGTACATGACAATGGGCACTGTTTTTTTCTTCCATTAGTGGGTATTTTCTCTGTGCCTTTTCCTCCCCATGGCCATTGCTCACTTTTTATAAGCCTGGATTGTTTTATATTTTAAAAAAATCACTTAATTACTGTCTTTTAGTGATTTCAAAGTCCTATAATTTTCCCCCTTTAATTATAGAATCCAAGTTGAGCACTGGTTGTCAGTTTGTATGAAGTGTCTTAAAGTATGTAGGCCTTTTTAATTCTAGATATTTACCTTAGGGAAATATTTGGAGATATGGCCATAGATTTTTTGCTCATGCATTTTAATAAGAATGTCTTACATAATTATGAAAGTAGAAAACAACCTAAGTATCTAGTAATAGAGGGTTAAAATAATGGTATTTTAAGTATCTATATTAAAGCAGTTTTAAAATAAAATTTAATGGTGAGAAATGCTCACATGATAATAATAATAACAAAAAGCTATAAAATTCTATTCTGTGATGCTAGAACATACCATAAAGAAATCCAGGAAAGGGACTAGCAGAGTGACTCAAGTGGTAGAGTATTGCCTAGCAAGCACAAGACCCTGGGTTCAATCCCCAGTACCATTAAAAAAAGAAAGAAAGAAAGAGGAAGGAAGGCAGGGAGGAAGAAAGAAACCCAAATGCTATGTGTTGGAATTATGCATAGTGGGTTTTGCCCCTTCTGTATCTGAGATTTTTTCACAATGAACAAATACTCCTTCTATGAATTTCTTTATTTATTTTTGGTGGCACTGGGGTTTGAACTCAGGGCCTCATGCTTGTTAGGCAGGTGCTCCTACCACCATTTCTTTATTTTTGAGACAGAGTCTCCCTGCATGGCCCAGGCTGGCCTTGAACTTAAGATCCTACTGCTCAGCCTCCCAAGATCTGGGATCACAGGCATGTACCACCATACTTGGCTAAATATTCTCTTTATAATTAAGAACGTTCTAGATTTTTTGGGGGGGAGGGGGAATGAACTTTATTTTGCAGTGCTAGAGATTGAAACCAGGGCTTCACACATGCTAGGCAAGTGCTTTACCACTAAGTTACTTCCTTAGCCCTGGAAAATGAATTTTTTTTGGGGTGGCACTGGGGGTGTGTGTTTTGAATTCAGGGGCCTTGAGCTTGCTAAGCAGGTACTCTTCCACCTGGAAAATGAATTGTCAAGGTCTAGTTCAGATGCCACTGGATTTTGAGACTGTCCCAGTCACCTGGGAACAGTGATATGTTGCTTATTCAGGCTTCTTCAGCACATTGCACCTCTCTGGACTCTAACCTCAAACCTTGTATTACAGTCATTAAGTCCCTGACTGGGTAGACCTGTGGAGACCTGATGGTGCCATATGTAAGCTTCTTCTTCTATCTCTCAAACTCTCTTGTAGATCATCTTACATAATAAACTTTTTTTTTTAATGGTGACAGAACTTTAACCCAGGGCCTCGTGCATAATAAGCATGTAGCCCATCCCTAAGCTATATTCCCAGTCTCTAATAAATATTTTTAATAAATAAAATTCTCCTATTACACTAGAGGTATAATGTAAAAGCCACTGAGGACCAGGCATGGTGGTGCACATCTGTAATCCTAGTATTTGGGAGGCAGAGGCAGGAGTATCTCAAGTTCTAGGCCAGGCTAGGCTACATATTGAGACCTTGTCTCTTAAAACCAAAACCAAACCAACAATAAGACTTTTGAGGGGACATATTCAAAATTCCCCATCTTACCATGTTTAATGTACAATTTAGTTGTGTTAGGTAGATTCACGTTGCTATGTAGTTAATCTCCAGAACTCTTCCATATATTCAACTTTGTGCTTGAGTTTATTTTTGGAAGCACGAGTAGAGCGAGCTCGGGTGTAGCATGATAGAGACGCCGAGCGTGGGCAAGGCCCTGGGTTTGATCCCCAGCACGGCAAAAAAAAAAAAGAGTCAGAATGACTGAAGTCTAGACAAGACACCCTGAGAATGTATGCTTTCAACAAGTTTTTTAAAAAAAAGGACTTAAAGGTTATAGGACAAGTAGTTTTTGGAAACAGTCAAACATCTCACGTATTTATGAGCATCCTGAGTTCGGTCCAAACTGCTCTGTAGATGAAAATACCAGCATGTGTTTCTAAGTTATCCTGTGACCGAGCTTTTGTCTCTGGCTGGGTTTGGAGAATGGGATCTTCCTCTGATTTCTGGCATGTGTGCAGGCAGTTCACTGGATGGGTCGGGGCTTCCATCCTGTTGTTGAACAGTGATTTTGCCCTTAGCTTCTCAGCTCTGTGTTGACACTTGATGGTGCAAACTCCTAGTGTGCACAGAGGAGTGCACACTCATTTGAAGACCGAGTCCTCCAATGATTACTTTCTTTCTTTTTTTGTTAAGATAGGTTCTCACTATGTTGCCCAGGCTGGTTGCAAACTCGTAGGCACCAAGTGATCCTCCTGCCTCAGCATCCCAAGTAGCTGGTACAACAGATGTTACCACCGCACCTGACCAATTACTTTTCTTCCTTTATTTCTGGCGGTGCTTGTTATCAAACCCAGGGCCTCATGAATGCAAAGCAAGAACTCTACCACACCCCTCCAGCTGTTATTATACTTCTTGAAACCTCGCACCTAGAGTCTAGTCCAGAGGTCTGGAACCTGTAAGCCCAGTGTGGTTTTTTTTTTCTTCTTCTTTTGCAGTGAACCTAGGGGACTCCCGTGTGCTATGTACTAGGCAAGTACTCTACCATGGAACTACACTTCCCAGTTCCTGATTTTTATACTTTTAAAGGATTGTAAAACAAAAACAATAGATAAATAAATAAATACATGCAACAAAGGCCATATGGGGCCTGCAGAGTCTAAAATATTTAGTATATGGCTCTGTATAGAAGTTTCATCAGTCAACAACCTGTTTTCTCCCTGCATTGAAAATGGAGTTCCTAAAAGGCTCAAACTACATTTTCCTCTTCTGAATTCCTTTTAGATATTTGATTTCTATGTTGACTTTATAACCTTTTTTCCCCCTTCCTCTCCTTTCCAAAGAAATACAACCCCTCGGATCCTGCTTTTGCTTATGCACAGCTGACCCATGATGAGCTGATCCAATTGGTCCTCAAACAGAAGGAAACAATAAGCAAGAAGGAATTTCAGGTTCGTGAGCTGGAAGACTACATCGACAATCTGCTAGTCAGGGTCATGGAAGAAACCCCCAACATCCTCCGTATTCCGGCTCAGGTTGGCAAAAAAGCAGGAAAAATGTGAACCACCAGATTAAAACACTGAGATGTTTCTGCAAGCTTGTTTCCATCGGCTCTTCAGGTCAAGGACTTGGTCTGCCTGATAACCAGCCAACAGGCTCCCAATCTCTATCTTCCTTGCATGTTATCTGTCAAGATTTAATTCTATCAATTGATACCAGGTTAATTATTACAATGAATCTTTTACTGTATATTCCCAGGGTTTTATTTTTAAATGCCACTACTGTGCCTTTAACTAGGTTGTAAATATTGTATGCCCACCAGAGAAATGGTCATAAGACCTGACCCTGAGCCAGACATTCAGATGGTACTGGAGGTACTAATGTGTTTTAACACTGAGGTTTCTTTGATACTGAAAATTTTCAAATATGTACCTCCAGGCATTAAAACTTAGGGTGAAATGAGAACGAGACCACACAATTGGTACTGTGTTATGCCTAATTTCTTGGCCTTTGAGCAGCACAGGTGTGGATGTTGGCTCCAGATGCTTAATTTTGATATCAGATGAACTTACAAGACTTCTCAGGCTTGGTTCTTTTGGGTTTTTTTTTTTTGACTGGAGCAGAGCCATTTAGGTAAAGCCTATGAGTGTGTCTCTTAGACTCTAACAAGCTGCCTCTTCCAAAAAAAAAAATCAGTTCCCATCATCTCTGGCTTTCAAATGTGCTCTTTAGATCCATGGGGCCTTCTGGTGATACAAAAATGTAGAAAAGGGAATTGAAGAATTACTTTTCACTCAACTAGGGGAATTTGGTCAAAGTTCCTCTTCTTATGACAGTAGGGTTCCTGCTAGCTGGACTGGCCTGTTCAGTGCCTTGGTAAGAGATAGGTGAGCTTACTAAAACAGTTCTATGAGGTAGAGAATAATTTTAGTAAGGTTCCTTTGGCTATTTCCATTAGTGCCTTTGTTTGGCTTGCTGGTTTCCTTGGCAGCATTTCCTGGAGGTGATGGGTCCCACCAACAGCTCAAGATAAAGAAGGTTGGTGGTGTAGCTCAGTGGTAGAGTGCTTGCTTAGCACACGCAAGGCCAAGGTTCCATCCCCCGCAGCGCAATAACAAACGAAAAAGGAGGGGGCAAGTATAAACCCCTTAATGGTGTAGGCCATGAGGAACCACAGACTTTGACCCTGGGGACTTGAAATGCATCCACACACCTTGCCTTCTGGATGCTGCCTGTCCCTGCCCAAAAGGAAACCCAAGTTACTTCTGGAATACTGGGGAAGTTGTACTGAAGGGTTTAGTAAAGTTTAAAGGCCAGTAGAGAACAGAAATGCTTCATCCTTTAAACTGTTGCTTCTATTCTTCATGAATAGAGACTGACAGGTATTTTACTTCCTTGTTAGGAAGTTGTGAGGAGCAGAGCTAGGGATGTAGCTAAGTGGTAGAGTGCTTACCTAGAATGCATGAATCACTGAGTTTGAGCCATAGCACTGCAAAAATAAACAAACAAAAGAAGCAAGAAGATGATACTTATTTTTGGATTGCCGTTCTTTTGTTTTATATGAAACAGGGTCTCACTATGAGTGTAATGAGACCCTGCTGCCTCAGCTTCCTGAGTGCTGGAATTACAGGTGCACACCATCACTCCTGGTAGATTGCTGTATTTTTAAAACTAGATTAACGTGCATATTTTTTAAAATTAGGGCACTGGCCCCCTTCTTAACTAATATCTGCACACCAGGTTTTTCAGGTAATTTCACTGTTGGTCACCTCATGCTGAAATTAGTATATTTCATGTTGTGTGTATTTTTTTTCTCCTGCTTGAGATATAATCTCATCACATCTTGGCATCTCTCCTGGGGGAAGAATTATCACAGGCAGTGGTCTGGGCAGGGTTGAGATGGTGACAGTAATTAAATCGAGAATCTCTTCTGTATATGTCCCCATTATCTTGAGGGTAAGAAACAAGATGACTGGCAGCTGAATCCCTTTTCAGGATTGCGTTTGCTGCCACACTGGTTATATTGGAGCACTTTAATCTGAAGGTGATACTGTAAGTTGATTTATCTAAGTAGCTTTTAATACCCACAGCTATTTAATTTAATTTAATTTAATTCTTCCTCCAGTACTGGGGACCACTGTAAACTTCTCAGATGATGTATTTTTGTAGTGCTATAAAAATTTATTGACATGCTTATAAAGAAAACTGTATATCCACTTGAACTCTGAAAATGTACATGTATATATCTGTTCTGCATCATGTTTTTTTACTTGATATAAATGTATTACTGTGACAACTCAAGGGTGCTGGGAGAGCAGGTGTGCTGAGTAGTTCTCTTCCTTGGAAGAGCTGGCATGGAGACCTGCCTTGTTCATGAAGGCCTCAAAGATATTTGTTGCTAGGACCTTGGTATATAACTTGGTCAGCACTGGGAGGGATGTCTGGGTGGAGGAGTGAATTCCTATGCCCTGAAATGCCACTTGGGAACTCTGAAGAATGAAGGACAATTTATTTCAAGGGTGTCTGGCTTCTGCCAGAGCTGGAAAAAATTCATTTTATAGCATTCCTTGAACCTCACCAAGTAGATAACCTGAGGTCATTCAGTTAATGACTGTCCTTGAGGATTCAATGGGGACTGGTGGGGAGAGGTCTTATCTAAGAGAAGCTTTAGCCTGCTGTGAGCCATTAGCAGAGGTGGGTGGATAGGAGTACTGGAACTCTTGTATCTGGCATAGCCTAAGGGCGTCCATGGTCTCAGCAAGTATAGCTGGCACTTGCCTGTAGCTGCCCAGGCGCTGGAGGAAGCTGTGCTCTGGAGAAATGTGAGCGACTCTTTCCTTGCCCTTGCCTGGCTTCCTCCAGAAAGAACAGCCAGGATTTTAAGGCAGCATTGAATTAAATACCAGTGAACTTCAATTGGAGGTCAGCTTCATGAAAAAATGTCAGTCACTGAGCTGATTGTTTCATATCATCTCATTCCTTGGGCTTTGGCAGATGTGTTCTGCCCTTCTCTTTTATTCCAGTGAGATAACCTTGTTGAGGTAACAGAAGGGAGGAGCAAGCCACTGTACCCTTTGCTATGTTCACATCGGTGGGCCCCTGTGGAGGGCTGTGTAAGTGTGCATGAAGGAGATGAGCTGTATGTCTCCGGCTCTCTACCAGTGGGAGCTCAATGGGGTAGAGAGGGAGGACAGCACATGATGCTTTGCTACACACTCTATTGAGGCAAGAAGCCTGTTAATGTTAAATTATTAAAGATCTTTCTTCTTTGCATCCCTTCCTCCAGCCGGCCTTTTTTCTCTTTCTTTTTTTTTGGGGGTGGTGGTGGTGGTGGTTCTGGGAATTGAACCCAGGGCCTTGTATATGCTAAGCACATGCTGTATAAACCATTGAGCTACACGAGAACCCCACTGTTTTGTTGTTGTTGTTGTTGTTAATTAAGGATCCCTTAAGGCTGAAAAATTAATTGCTTTAGATGGGGAGCTTTACCTCCTAGTATCCATACCAACCTTTTCTGGATTCTCCTGTCCACCATGTGAGTAAATGAATTGACTTTCCTCCTCCAACTGCAGGATCACCCAGCGTTTCTGCATTACAGAATTATTATTTCCTGCTTTGTTACTTTGGGGAGTTTGAATTTCTTTGGGTTTGTTTTTAAGAAGTAACCTAAAAGTTCCTACAACACTAAATAAAATGGTTTTACCTTTCAAAGATTTGTCTCTGTACTTTAGTACATGTATGATAAAAGTTTTTTTCTGGACAGGTGCTGGTTGTTCACACCTGTAATTCTAGCTACTTGGGAGAGTAAATAGTTTGAGAGACCCCATCTCCAAAGTAAGCAGAGAAAAGTGGACTGGAGGCATGGCTTTGCAAGCACAAAGCCCTGAGTTCAAACCCCAGTTCCATCAAAAAAAAAGTTTCTTCTGTCTTCTTGGGAACTTAGGGTGTGTGTGTGACAGTTTCTTATCCCATGAGGGTCTGTCTCTTGGAGTCCTGCTGCTGCCACCCTGTTTGGTGCCCAGGGCTCCCAAGGCCCCTTGTGCAGAAGCTGGGACATCTCTGTTCTTCCCTATGAACAGTCCTCATTTTATCCTGAGGAGTCACGACATTTATCCAGTAGACATGATATGAATGTTCCGCCTAGATGCTAAAGCTGCACCTTCTCCTGTCCTTTGTTAACAGATGTCCTTGGCTGAGCCCATGGGCAAAGGTCTTCCTAGGCCTCCTCCTTGTACACAGGTTTCCTAAAGAGGAATATTTTCACCTTGGGGCATAAGTTGAATTCATACTGTGTTCAGAAATGCTCCATCTCACAACCAGGTCCTGGGTCAGTTAACTTAGTGATCCACCTCCGGATAGAAGCTATTAGGGGCAGGTCAAGGAATCTCCTCCCAAGCTCAACTTGGCTTGCCTTTCCTAGTGAGGACAGCAGTGGTTTCACAAGTATGGTGCATGGCTTACAGTGCTCATGCCAAGGACCCTGGCCTCTGAAAATGGGGTAGATGCTATTTCTCTCACAGAGATAAAGGTTGTAGAGTCTGTGAAGCTCTGAGATGGGATTTGGGGTCAGGAGTCTCGCTAGATTGCTAAAGGGGCCTGGTTGCCTTGAGTGGACATCACTAGTGGGACCACCATGTCAAAGGACCTCAAAGCAGATCCATATCCTTCCTCTCTCTCTCTCTCACTCTCTCTCTCTCTCTGCCCCCTTCCTTTCTGCCTCCCTCCCTTTCCTTTTTATTTATTTATTGCAGTGCTGGAGATTGAAACCAGGGTCTTGCACATACCAGGTCAGTACTTTACCATTGAGCCACATCCCCCGTCTCAAAACAGCTTGATAAAATTCATGGTTCTCAGGTTGGGATGTAGCTTAGTGTTAGAATGCTGACTGAGCCTTCATGAGGCCCTGTGTTTGAGCCCCACCACCAAAAAAAAAGAAAAGGCAAAAAAAAAAAAAAATTCACAGCCTTTTAGGTTTGGTAAAAAACAAAACAAAACAAAAGCCTTCTAGGAGGAGTCTCCCATAAAGGAAAGTTTAATTTCACAAATGACTAGCATTATGAGATTTGTTTCTCTTGCTTTTAAAATTCAGTCTTGCTTTTAAAATTTGGTTCCTGCTACTGCCACCAAACCAGCCCTTAGGGGCATCCTAGTGTATTTTCAAACTCCAGATTAAGGACAAACATAAGTTTCTCTTAAGTCTCTCTTGTCTTTTGAGTTCCCTTAGCCCAGCTGTTAATAACAGAAAGCTTTTGTAAAAACACCAAGAAAATAAGGGAAATGATTATAGGGTGTATGAACAGCATAAAAAAGAAACTTTCCCAAATCTAGAATTCTGAACTGGAGGAAGTTAGACCCAAAGGTCTAGTGGCTCATTAGGCACCTGCCCATCTCAGCCAGGTGACTGTGGTCATTCTTAGCTGATCTAAAGGCCTCTCCTGGTCTAGTTTGGAGGAACAGAACTTCCTCCCCTTCCATTCTCCAATTCAACCTTTTTTTTTTTTTTTTTGGTGCTGGGAATTGAACCCAGGGCCTTGTGTATGCTTAGCCTCTGCTATACAACTAATGACATGGAGCTCTGTAGCTTTTTCTAAGTAACATCATAACACATTTGTTCTTAAAAAAGAAAACAACAACAACAAAAAAAATCACAGTTTCCTCATTACCATGGTAACCACAATTACTCTGACTTTCTCAGGAGGTTTCCTCAACAGATAACATTTTAAAAGGAAGATGAGCTCATTGTTGTGGTTTGGATCTGAAATGTTCCCCAAAGGCCCATATCCAAAAGGCTTGATGCCAGCCTGTTTTGCTATTTGGACTTGGTGGAACCTCTAGGAGAACGTGAGATTATTGGGGGCGTGCCCTTGAAGGGAATTCTAGGATCTCTGCCCCTTCTTATCTTTGTTTATGGGCCTCCAGGAGGGAGCAGTTTTGAACTGACACGCACGGTAGCCATAATATGCTATGTCATCATAGGGCCAAAGACAACCTTGACTGAAACCTCTGAAATAAAAATCATTCTTTGGTTTTGTTTTTTTTCTGTCAGTGCTGGAGTTTGAATTCAGGGCCTCATGCTTGCAAGGCAGGCACTCTTACTGCTTGAGTCACTCTACCAGTCCCGTCCCCCACCCTTGTTTGTGATGGGTTTCTTTGAGAAAGAGCCTCATGAAGAAGGAACTCTTTGCCCAGGGTTGGCTTCAAACCACAATCCTCCTGATCTCTGCCTCCTGAATAGCCAGGATTATAGGTATGAGCCACCGGTGCAGGACCAAAATAAATCTTTTAAGTTTGATTATCTCAGGTATTTTTTCCCAGCAATGGAAGGCTGACTGACACAATCACCAGTATGAACAGTACATACTGGTTCGAACATGCCCCCGTGTCTTTAGTTTGTCTTCAACATTCTGTACTGTGCAGTGCAAACTGATAAGGATGTAGAAGGAAACTCTACCCCAGCTAACAGCTCCCTACCACAGAAGAGCTGTGGTACCTGCAAAGATAATTCAGGTTCCTTCTGGCTCAGGTTCTAATGGCAGTCACCTGTGGGCCAAATGAGGACCTGCTGGGGAAGGGCACCATGCTGTCATCTCACCATGGGCAGTGGCCACTTCGGCTGGTATTACCATCTTTCACTAAGGCAAAAGGGTCAGCAGGATAGCCCTTGAGCCCGGTCAGTGTGTAAACAAATGTATCCTGTGCCTGAAGCTTCTTTTCAGGCGCCATCTTTTGGCTTGAGCTACCACTTCCGACCCAAAACTGGTTTACTTGGCCTTGTGGAGCCAGCATCTCCCAAGCCCCAGCACACTTCAAGGCTTTAGCCCTGTGACACTCCATTGTTCTACATGGAAACCTGTTTCCTGGCCCTGGAAAGAATCACCCTGGTAACAGTTGAGAAAAAGCAGCTTCCACCCTTGTGCATGGGATGCTTTTCAGGCTTAACCTTGACTGCCACAGGAGGGCCGATGTCATAGGAGGGCTGATGTCACAAGGTGTCACAAGTTCCTACCATTTACTAAGCACTAGAGTACTACGTCTAAATCTCAGGAAGGTAGAAAGCAATTCCATTAGGCAGATGAGCAGACTGAGACTTAGGCGTCAGAGCGTTACTTTGTCTAGGCCTCACCTAAGTTAAGGATTCAGCTGAGCATGGTGGTACTCACCTGTAGTCCCAGCTACTCAGAGGCTGAGGCAAGAGAATCTCTTTAGCTCAGGAGTTTGAGACCAGTCTGGGGAAAACAGACCCCTACCTCTTAAAGAAAGACAGTGGGCCAGGTTCAGAGGCTCATGCCTGTAATCCCGGCTACTACGGAGGTGGAGATTGGGACGATTGAGGTTTGAGGCCAGTCTGGACAAAAAGTTACTGACATCCCATCTCAACAAACAAGCCAGGTTTGGTGGTGCATGTCTGCAGTCCCAACTATGCAGAAGGTGTAGGTAGGAGGATCGTGGTCCAAGGCTGGCCTGGGCAAAAATGAGATACCCTATCTGAAAAATAACTAAAGCCAAAAAGGGCTGAAGACATGGATCAAGTGGTAGAGCGCCTGCCTAGCAAGCTTGAGGCCCTGAATTTAAACCCTAGAATCACCAAAATAAAAGGGAAAAGATTTGGTCAAACCTGTCTGACTTGGAGGTCTAGAAAGAAGGCAGCAAACTACAGCTTGTCACCTGCTTGCACAGCTTTCAAGCCAGCAGTGAGTTCTATATTTAATTGTTGAAAATTAAAAACTAATGGTGTTCCATGATACATGAGACTTACGTGAAATTCAAATTTCAGTGTCCATAGATCAGGTTTCCCTGGGGCATGGCCGTTTGTTTACAGAACACCCTGTATCTGTTTTCACATTACGACAGCAGTTTAGTACTTGCAGTAAAGTCCTAGTTATCTTCAAAACCCAAAATATTTATTATCTGGCCTTTTACAGAAAATGTCTCCTTGTCTCTGGTCTAGAATCACTTTGGGCCAAGGAGATGATGTCCTAAGGTTCACTTGGACTCATGGAGGTTTGGCGCAGACAGGGAAAATGGAGTTACAGTGCTCCATTTCCTCATAGGACATAGCATGAGGCCAGATAAGCCATAGCCTCCCAGAAGTTCTAGATAAGGCGACTCAAGAAGTTAAGCTTATTAATCCTCAGCCCAGGACAGCAGATGTGTATGGAGGGGGGATTTTAGGATAAACAATGCAAAGAAAAAATTGAATACAAGTGCGAACAGGTACCACCAATCCTGGCCTTGCTTTGTACTGGGGCTGTCTCACTAGTGAGTACAGAAGAAAAATGAGTGTCCACTAAAGAGCTCGGATGGTGGAGAGGAAATCCAGGGAGGCTCCAAGACCTGATGCAACGGTCAGGCTTAGGGTGACAATGAGAGGGTACATAGGGCTCAGAGTGAAACTGGGTTAGAGTCACAAAATTTTAGTCGAGTGAGCTGAGAGGAGCCCAGGGCTGGGGCTGGTTATAGACGTTGAGAGTGGCCCAACTCTGTCTTGCTGGGTACTTGTTCTAAATTAGAATGATCCTTTCTCTGAGGAATTCTGTCCCTTTGGTGCTTCTGACAAGCCCACCTAGGCCAGGTACACAGGAGTAGAACATTCTTTGCAGAATGTTGGCCCTCCCCAGGATGAGAAGGCCAGATAATTCCCACAGATACTTGCAATCAAGTGAAAGTCAGACAGGAAAACAACTCACTGGAATATGCATATCTAACCAAAGGCAGCTTGGGTACAGGGCTTCCTTTAGGTGCCCTCCTCTTCAGTCTCCCCTCTAGAGTCAAGACCTCAAGGCCAGCACTACACATCTGGACCATGGCTGGGACTGCCTTTCCCACAGTCTCCTCTCCCAGCAGGCCTAAGTCAGCCCATCTGGGTACTCAACTGAGGGGCGTCAGATCAACCGACAGCCACTATCACAAAAGTTTATAGTAGTGGTGGGGGTATCAAGGATGACATGTCTGTCCAAATCAAGTGACACAAATACATTTCTAAATACATTGATTTCTTCTTGAGAAAGTGGAGAAGCCAGCCCCCAGGCATACACAGTTTAGCAAAATGAGCCATTTTCTGACTTGGGTCTTACCCTCTTCCCAACCTGTCTGTGTGAGGAGAGGGCTCCTATGGCACCAGGATATCCTTCACTTGTGAATGAAAAAACAATCATTCTTCTAATCCTTGCGGTTGCTGATGGGAGGGAGGATTAAAAACCCTCTCTTTCACCTTACAATGGGGAGAATGGGATGGCAAGGTGCTGTAAAATCCTGCTTAAAAAAATGCACGTAAGTTCAAGACTGCACAAAATGGGATGACAGAAATTTGATGCTGTTCTGTATACAATGTAGAGAACTTCCAATGCTTTTAGGGACATTTTTCTCCTCCCCAGTAAGAATGTCTACTGTACTGCCTAAAACTAATGGATGTCCCTGAAGTGTACGCGCATGCATGCATGAGAGTGTGTCTTAATATTTACCTGCCAGACAACTAGGTATAACTCCTCATCCCATAGCTTACACTAGTGGGGAAGCCTTGAAGAAAGGGGACTTGGAACACCAAAGCCCATCCCATCTATTGTGCGGAAGCCCTCTTCTAGTGTGGGGTTAGAGCAGATGTTAAAACTAAGGGAAGGATGGTTGCGGATTACTGTGTCCATTGGTTACGGGGAGGAGGGATAGCCATAATTGAGCCTTGTGGTAATGGGTGGGATTTCTCTTAAAAGCAGGAGTGATTCTCCTCTCTTGGGGAGGAGGTGGTACCCTTAGGATTAGATATCAAGTATAGAAACTGGGTGTGGAAAAGAAGGGATACTTCATAAAGACTTTTTCTTGTTTGCTTTGGTTTTTGAAACAGGGTTTCATTATGTAACCAAGGCTGGCCTTGAACTCATGATTCTCTTACCTCAGCCTCCCAAGTGCTGGGATTACAGGCATGTACCATTATGCCTGGCCATGAAGGTACTTTTTTTGTGAAGACAGTCTTATGAAATTTTCTGTTTTACAAATATTTTCAACAATATTATGCCACCTTATATTCCTTATCTCTATTAAAGGCTGTTAACATGTAATATACTAAAATTTAAAGATGGAAGTTTAACTCTTTTATGTTCATGGGTTGACTAGCAACTAGTCAACAGAGAACATCCTGCCAGTGGTCTGCATGCAGGATTTCTGCCATCCAACAATAAGGGAGGGGAGGTTTTAGAGGTAGCTATGAACAGAGAGGAAGCACATCTGAGCCAGAGGGGTTTCTGCTGAGCAGATAATTCTTATGAGGCACAACACCTCTCTCCAAGTTGGTACTAGAGGAAAGTGTCATTGAGGCAGGGAAGGGTTACAAAGTGGAACCTTTCTATCAGAGGTGCCCCTGCTCTCCGCTGTGGTCCAGGACTTCAGTCTCACTAGGCACAGAAGGAGCCCTCGGCACCTGGCTGCTGCTCAGAACTCTTTCAAAAATCCAGCTAGCCCTGCCTGATAAAACCCTGTCTTTTTTGAGGCTCAAATCCTCTAAGTTAAGTACACATTGGGTACATAGTTATTGTGTCGCCTCATCTCCTCAGACAAATAAACACATTTTCCCTTTGAGTTTGGTTTTTTCAGCTGTAGGTTGCATAAAAATGTACTGATCTTCTAAAGAAGACAGCTATACACTGTATATTATTCCTCAAAGAAATAGCCCTATTTGTGAAGGTGCTTACATACACTCTTATTATCCCTCAAATTATTCTGCACAGAAGTTGAACAATCATTTTCTGTTCTGATCTCACATTCTACCTCTAACTCCCAATGCAAGGTTGAGAGTGAGACCACAACAGCTTCTAAAATCTGCAAATGCCAGAGGCACCTGTCTGAAACTCTTCATTATCAACCTGAGAACAAATTCTCCTCACATACTTTTAGCACTTAGGATGAGATTCCCTTCTGCTTTCTTAGACTCCTAAGGAAGGGCTCTGGTTGTTCTCAAAATTTAACTCAATTTTCTTATTTTTCAGAGACAATGCTAAAACTTCAGAGCACTAAAATCTTTATTTTTGCCAGGCACAGTAGATCATGCCTGTAGTCCCAGCTTCTTGGGAGGCTGAGAAGGAAAGATTACTTGATCCCAGGAATTTGAAGTCAGCCTGGGTAGCATAGCAAGACTGTGTTTATTTTTAAAGAAATCTTTATTCTTTTTCTGGGGGTGGGGAGCAGTACTGTGAATCAAATCTTTTAAAGACCCTTTAAAAAAATCTTTATTCTTTTTTGTAGGAGATGCTGGGGCTTTGGGCATGCTAAGCAGATGCTCTAACACTGAGCTACATCCCCAGCCCTAAAAATCTTTATTCTTAATGAGTGTAATTAGGACTTTACTTATAAGAAAATACACTTGCTGGGAGCCAGTAGCTTATGTCTGTAATCCTAGCTTAAGAGGCTGAGATCAGGAGGATTGAGGTTCCAGGCCAGCCCAGGCAAATAGTTTGTGAGACTCCCATCTCCATAATAACCAGAGCAAAATGGGCTGGAGGTGTGACTTAAGTGGTCGAGCTCCTGATTTGCAATCATGAGGCCCTAAACTCAAACCCTAACCCCATCAAAAATAAGAATATATATACACTCTTTTTGTTGATGTTCAATTTATATCCAAACATACAACTTATCTCAATCTGTGCTGCTATAACAGAATACTTAAGACTGGGTAATTTATAAGGAACAGGAACTAACTTTTTTACAGTTTTGGAGGCTGGGAAGTCCAACATCAAGGCACCAGCAGGTTCAATGTCTGGTGAGTGCTGTTCTCTGCTTGAGAGATGGAGCCTTGAAGGCTGCACCCTCTTCCTGGAATGAATCCTATGTCCTCACAGGGCAGCAGGCTGAAGGGCGAAAGGACCAACTTACCTCCATTAATTCTTTTTATAGCTGCATTAGTCTTTTTTATTTTTTACTAGTGCATATTAATTGTACAATGTGAGTGGTTTCATTGTGATATTTCTGTACATATATATAATATTCTTTGATCATATTTACTCCCTCTATTACTTTCTTATCCTCAATCCTCCACCTCCCCTTTTAAAAAAATCTTTCTTGAAACTTTTAAAAAGTGGGTTTCATTAGGATTTTCTTACAATGTACTTCAATTATATTCCTGCCCTCCTCTTTTCCCCCTCCCACCCATCAACCCATTCTTAAGGTCAGAGCCCTTGTAGAAGGATCAGAGAAAATAAGGCATGGGAAACAGCAGCCAGGAATTCAAAAAACAAACATTATATTAATGAATAGCTTGATTAAAAGCACAAGGAACTACTTTATTTAAGCTTCACACTCCCTCATTAAGCTTCAACATAAACATTTTTTTCAAATGCAGCTCTCTCTCTCTGACCTTGCCTGATTGCCCAAATAATTAGTATGCTCTGGGAATGATTGAGGATATCTTGAAAAAGAAAAAGACACTTATCCAGGAGGAGGAGAAAATATTTGATTAAATGACTCCTTTGATCACAGACGTGTTTGCAAAGACGAAAACAATATCTTAACGAAGGGCACCTGATTTAAAAGGAGCATCTGATGAAACTCATTCTTTGTTTAAAGTGAGGCTGAAGGAAAACAGACATCTATGTCACAGTGACCCAAATTTAGTAAATTGATCAGACTGGGTATCTCTGGGCCCATTTGATGATGCCAAAACAGTATAATAGCAAGAATGACTGGATATACTAGGTGTCCAGAACAAAAGGGGGCACTTATCCTAGAGTGAATTTAAGCCAAACTCCCAACCCAATTTTTTTTTTTTTACCATAAATATCCCTGATGTTAGAATACTCAGTGTGCTTCTTATCAGATGTGACTCCACCCATTTCTGGGTGTGTATTATCCTTTCTCTGCTTTACCAATAAACTTTCTTGGTCTCTACCTGGAGTGTCCTAAAATTCTTTTTTGCCATGTCACAAACTCAGAACCCAAGGGCCAGGTAGAGGCCTCTTCCCTTTTGGAGACCTCCCTCGAGCCTCATCGGTTCTGGGAACTTTACGAGCTAGGTAAAGTCCTAAAGATCCCACTTCCCAACACTGTTTCATTGGGGATTAAGTTTCCAACATACGAATTTTGGACAATAGCACATTACTAATATTGTAAGGCTGGTTTCTATAATGGCATCACTAGAGGTAAAATTTTACTCAAAATTCTTTCACATATACTATACCAAGCTAGGAACTTTGCAGTCAGAATCTTGGGGCACCTCAAAGCTGAAGGTTTTAAACTCATTTAGATCTGCTTGCACCCTCCGCTTTGCCAAAAGCCTGATTACTCCATATTATTTCACTCCAAAGTCCATTAGACATTCTTGCCTGGCCTCTGAAGCCATCTTATTTTGCCACCCCCGATTTTAATTCAACTCCCTCATTTACAGTTGAGGAAGACTGCAAAGAGAGGAAGCAACTTGCCTGGGAAGTAGCTCTAGAGGAAAATATTCGCTCACTTTTAGCGACATACTTTCTACAATGGCCAAAATCGACATTGATTACCACAGAGAAATGAACAACGTGCGATTTCTCTAGCGCTTTAAAAGGAGGGTTTTCGTGTCCATGTAGGAAGAAGTTTAATCAAATTAAACTCCCAGTGTGGCTCACACTATAGTGCGGAGACCCTGAATTCAACATAAGTCATCCCAGGAACTTCCTCTCCTACGCTCATGTTTCTACCCGAGTCCGCTGAGGAGAAGACCGGAAGTGACGCGAAACCGCGGGCTAGAGCGATCCACTTATCCAGCTGTCACGCTGACCAGAAGGAAAGGTGCAGCTCTTAGAAAGGCCCCTCCTAGTTCCTTCCGTTGCACAGTTACTGTTGGGGGCGCGCAGGTGGGTGGCCGGGTTTTCTGTGGTGCCGGGCGGGTGTTGAGATGCCGGGCGGAGGCCGGTGCCCGGACTGCGGCTCCACTGAGCTCGTGGAAGACTCGCACTATTCGCAGAGCCAGCTGGTGTGCTCCGACTGCGGCTGTGTGGTCACTGAGGGGGTCCTTACCACCACCTTCAGCGACGAGGGCAACCTCCGAGGTATCTGTGCCTGGCTTTTTCCGGGCCCTGGGTACAGACTGAGGCAGTGGAGCAATTAACGGCAAATTTCTTACTTTCCTCCCTTTCCTTGTCACGCGCACACTTAAATATGGGAGAAACTGGCCTAAACAAACAAACGAGCTGAAGGAATTCAGGAGTGCTATTCATACGTGTTTTCCTCAGTATCTAGGATGGTATCTGGCATATATGTTGGTATCATAAATGGTGAATTAGTAAAGCAGAAAATTGCCACTAAATTGGTCATTGTTGAAGGATTGTGGGTAAATTTTTTAGGAATACCACTCCTACCATTACCCTACAGTAGTTTTTAGCACTAGTAGGCAAAACCTTTTTTTTTTTCCATTGCTTTCCAAGTCCCTAATCAATACAGCCCACAAAATCTGCGGTTGCTTAGATTGGATGTACAGGACAGATGACTGAAACTTTGTAACTTTCCTCATCCTCTGTGGATTTGGTACTGTTTGCCGGTATAGATAACCAGATGTGTGTTTCTCTGGGCATCAATGGGCATCTGCTTTGAGACAGGGAGCAGATGCACACTGATTTGAATTCTGCTTCCTGACTTTCTGTGGTAAGAGGGTAAAGATCTGATGAACAGAGGCTAAGCATGCTATTTCTTGTTTATTATCTTACAGAAGTGACATATTCTCGAAGCACAGGGGAAAATGAACAAGTTAGTCGCAGCCAGCAACGAGGTGAGAATTGACCTTTTAAGACAGTGGATTTAATGGAAAGTATCCACATGGCCCAGTCTGTCTGTGCTTTACCTGTTTTCAGCATTACTGGCATTGGGTGGCATAGAAGAGAACAGTAATTAGAAATAAAGGCTGGGGAAGCTGGGTGTATGGTGGCATATGCCTGTAATCCCAGCACTCGGAAAACTGAGACAGGAGGATCTTGAGTTCAAGGCCAGTCTGGGCTACATAACAAGTTCTAGGCCACCCTTAGCTATATAGTGACCCTGTTTCCAAAGGGAAAAAATAGAAAGAGAGAAGAAGCAAAGTTTGGGGGATGGTTCTGAGAGCTCTAGCAATGCAGATGAGGTTTGGGTCTGCAGAGGAGAATGTTTGAAGTAGCCTTAAGGAACCTGGATAAAACTTTGTTCTTGGTTCTGGGAGTGTATCTTAATGGTAGAGCATGTGTTTGGCATGTGTGAAGTCCTGGGTTCAATTCCCAGTGCCAAAAAATAAAAGTAAAAAATAAGAAACTTTGTTTGGCCCTGAATCAAACCAGCTTCCAAAACAACGGTGGGTTGAATGTGACTTATTTTTGCAAATGCTTCTGTGCCTTTAGAATGATCATACTGGGACTGGGAGTGGTAGAGTGCTAGCCTAGCATGTTTGAGGCCAGAGGTTGGATCGTCAGCACTGTAGAAAAAGAAAAAGCTAGCGAGTGTTATTGCACAAAGGTACATTATTTATGCGTCTGGCATCTGTTGGCAAGTTTAGCAAAACTAAATTAATTTGTAGCAGAACTTGCTAGTTGGTGCACTCTAGTTCCTTTGACTCCTCTAACTCTTTCTGTTGGTTTTCCTAGGTCTTTGCCGAGTGAGGGACCTTTGTCGAGTTCTGCAGTTGCCACCAACATTTGAGGACACAGCAATTGCTTACTACCAAAAGGCATACCGGCACTCTGGCATTCGTGCTGCCAGGCTGCAAAAGAAGGAGGTGTTGGTTGGATGCTGTGTTTTAATCACCTGTAGGCAACATAACTGGCCCCTAACCATGGGAACCATTTGTACCCTCTTGTATGCAGACCTGGATGTGTTTTCTGGCACATACATGCAGATAGTGAAGCTTCTGGGACTGGATGTTCCATCTCTGTGCTTGGCAGACTTGGTGAAGACTTACTGCAGCAGGTACCTGACTAGGAGGAGACAGTGGGATGTAATGTGTCCTTATATATGAATCCTTTTATCTGTGGCTGTTTTTAACAAGAGCCCATCTAACAGGGTGTGGGAGAGAAACCTATTCTCCCTATCTTGTGTACAACTAAAGTGGTTAATACCATTGTATGTTTCTAGAATGCTATAATTGTCAAATTCTTTTGCCTTCACAGTAACCTAATGATGTAGGAAGAGTAGTTACTAGTCTTGGCACAGGACTGCTGAGTGGCACCACTCATGCATAGTATGTTACATGGTTTATGAATGGTGGTCCTTGGAATTGCATGGCATAGGGCACATGTGGCTGTGTGCAGCAGCCCTGCTTTAGCAGGATCACCTGGAGCTGAAAGAATATTAGTTAGTGGCAGAACTGGGGTTAGACGCTAAGCCTTTTTTTAAAAGTAGCTATGATTTTGGTTTTGGTTTTGTTTTTTCCCTAACAAATATAGTCAGAAACAAAGACTTTAAAAAAAAAAAAAAAAGTAATGGTTGGCTAGACATGGTGGTACATACCTATAATCCTGACATTTGATAGGGTGAGGCAGGAGGATCAGAGTTCAGAGCAATGTGTGCTGCATAATGAGACCCTGTCTCCAAAAAAAGTAATGATTGATGCTTGGTCACTTCAAATGTACATAATGGTACATTTTCGTGTAGGATAAATGAAAACACTATAAGCATTCAGAGTCAGGGCTGACAGGCAGGTGCTGAACTAATTTGGTGCTTTCCTCTGCCTGCCCTTCACTTGACAAGCAGAACACTTGCCCTGTTTTCTCTCGGTACCAAACTGAACTTGCTGCCCATTGAGCGCAAGTGTTTCTAGGACAGAGCAGCCTTCCCATCTTGAGAGGACTGCCCTTCCTCTCCTGGAAGTGCAGGCCCTATCATCACTGAGACCTGACTCTCATTTTAATTGTTTCAGCTTCAAACTGTTCCAGGCCTCCCCATCTGTGCCAGCCAAATATGTGGAAGACAAAGACAAGATGGTGTCCCGAACCTTGCAGCTGGTGGAGCTGGCAAATGAAACATGGTTGGTGACCGGGCGGCATCCCTTGCCGGTCATCACTGCAGCTACTTTCCTGGCATGGCAGTCACTGCAGCCTTCAGCTAGGCTAACATGTTCCCTTGCCCGATTTTGTAAATTGGCAAATGTGGACCTACCCTACCCCGCTGCCTCTCGCCTGCAAGAGCTGCTGGCTGTGCTGCTACGGATGGCTGAGCAGCTGGCCTGGTTGCAGGTTCTGGAACTTGACCAACGGTCAGTAGTGAAACACATTGGTGACGTTCTTCAGCACCGCCACATGCTAGTCCGAATGGCCTTTCGGGATGGGGCAGCAGAAGTAGAGACCCAGGAGAAGGAGCTTCAGGGGCAGGGGCAGGGGCAGGAGCAAGGGCCGGGAGAAGAGGAGGTAGGGAATAATTTGTTCAGAGGGAAGCGACCAGCCAGTCCTGCCCTTCTCCTCCCACCCTGCATGTTGAAGCCCCCGAAGCGAGCCCGTCCCACATTGCCTGTGTCCACAGTGACTGGAGATGAGAACATTTCTGATAGTGAAATAGAGCAGTATTTGCGTACCCCTCAGGAAGTTAGGGACTTTCAGAGAGCCCAAGCTGCCAGCCAGGCTGCCAGTGGTGTTCCTAATCCTCCTTGATGCACACCCGTCGAGGGCACTTGGCCTTGCTTTGTTGATAGCAGCTTGTCTCAGGAAGTAAGTGTATGTGACCCCTTGGAGCTTGTCTTGTTTGAAAGAACTAAGGGGCTGTGCAGTTAGTTGGACCTGAGGTTCTGGGAGTAGTGAAAGATGGCTGTGGGTGGGACAGTTCTCTTTCCGTGGTGTGGGGAACAAGTTGCATGAGTCTACATTCTGTGGGATGGTGTTCTTCCTAAAACTGTTGGGGGAAATGCCAGGCCCTCTCCTGCCCCAGTTTGAATTACACACTGTTGTGGAACAGCGGGCATTCCCAGGGGTCTCAACCCTCAGAGAAGCAGGAATGGGAATTCTCTGCCATAAACCATTCTAAGCACTAGTGGGTTTGTGTGTATGGTGTCATGAGATCCTTTACCTCATTAACAAAAGGACTGTGGGTGGACTACAGCTAACTCAAAGGGCTTTGCAAAATTTTAATATATTAAAACAAGAGACATCTGCTAGAAAACATTCTATTGTATAAAACCCAAACTTTTAAAAACATGTTTTCTTTGGCACTTTTCATTCCCACCCTCCCCTTTCCCCAGCGTATTGCAAAAAGCTCTCCAGTGCTAAGGCATTGGCAGGGTATGTAAACAGCAGCCAGCATATGTGGAAGAATAATACAAAGCTCTTTTTTTCTTCTAGTATTGTCTGTGCAGCAAGCATAAATAACAGGACCATCTTGAGGAGCATGGGTTTCTCCCCTCCCTATGTCCACTTTCATCTGATCAGGTTGGGTGACATGATTGGTAGGGAATCTGGACCAGACCTGGGTTCCTATTCATTTTTACAAGGCCCAAGGTTCCCTGTGATCCTGTAGTAAAAGGCTGGTGGTTACTTTTAGGTTGGGAAAAATATAGGTTCTGGGGTTTTAAAGTAGTGAAGGCAGGGACCCTAACAATTGCCTGAAGGCTTGGTTTGGGCTTCTGAGTTGGGAAACTGGTTTGGCATTTTGCAGGTGTCTCCCTACTGTGGAGTTAGAGATCAAATTATCAGGATGTCCTTCCATGTGGCCTCACAGAGGCAAGGAGGGACTTTTCCTTTTTCCCTTGGAATTGGAAGGTTGAGACCAGATGGCTCTGTACATCTTTCCAAACACTACCTGCAGCTTTAGAGTGGAGCAGCTCTTCAGAGCATTGTTTATAGATGCCCAGATCCAAGTACCAGCTTCCTCCACTTTCCTCATGTCATCAGGTGTAGGGTGTGGGCTTTGTTCTGAGGAGGCACCATTTAAGCTTGCTGCAGGATTTGTGTCCTACTCTGTGAATGGTGTCTGTACCCAGTTGTGCACCCTTCCACCTGTCCCCCACCCTCAGGACTAGATAATCTCCAGGACTGCCTTTCATGCTACCTCCCCTTCCCTCCTTGCATAGTTAATCTGAAAAGCAGCACCTGTTACTCCCCTGGACCTGGCACCTGACTCACCTGCTAGGGTGACTCCCTGAGCCAAACCTGGGGAGAAGCCAGGATCTAGGCAATGACCCTGGTGCCAAGCTGAGGGCAGTGAGAAGAGAGTGCAGTTCCCAGCTACCACCAAGGCTGGTGACTGCCAACAAGGCAGTATGGATGGCAGTACTTAGGAAGGAGCCCACCTGGGCTGGGCCCTTCCACTCTGTGGGCCACTCCATAGATTGATGGGATTTCCTGTCCTATCTGGGAGAGCACCAACAGCTGGACGTGAATGAATCATGCACGTTTCTGGATTGCCTGTCGCCATCACAGAGGGCTGACCCTCCAGGCAAGTGGTATATATTGGTCCCTTTACCTTCCTCAGTTAGCCTCAGGACTAACTGGTGAGCTCAAGTACGACGTCAACCCTGTTGGCATATGGTAGACGTCTTAAGGGCCTAGAGGAGTGGCTGGCTGACCTAAAGCGTTGCCCGCTCTGCTCTAAACGGTGGTCTCGCTTTTCCACAGGCCAGTCTTCATGCAGCGGCCCCCGGCTGCCTCCACGCAGGTCACGTTGGCGTCGTCGTACTTGCCCCCCTTGGGGACGCCGTTGAGACTGGCGGTGTTGAGCGGGTACGAGCGCCGCTTGCTTTCTTTCTCCAGCGCACTGCTGCCCTTGAGGTTGTCGCGGCTGGCGCTGCGACGCTGGCCCGGCCGCCCACCCTCGGGGAGCGGCGCGGCGCTTGTGTCGCTGCCCTCTGACAGCGTGAGCGTGGGCTCGCCATCGAGCGGGAGGCCAGCGCCCGGGCTGTTGCGACTACTGCCCGGGTAGCTGTCGGACGGGCTGTTGTGCAGACTGCCGCTCTCGCTGGATGGCAGCTCGGGCGCCCCGGGCGCCGCGCCCGCGCGCAGGGTCTTCAGCCGGTTCTTGCCACCAGCCTCCCCCGCGCGGTGCCCCTTGGCCCGACTTTTGTGTACCCGGCGCCCATGGTGCAAGTTGTTGGGGTGGCGGGAAGCGAGGCTTCCCCGGGAGCCCGTGGGCTCTGGCTCTCCTTCCGCGTGGGCCACCACCCCCGCCTCACACACCTGACTCTGGGCCAGCTGCAGGTTGGTGAGCTTGCAGGGGCCCAGCGGTGGTGCGTGGCTGCTGCTGCCACTCGGGGAGGACTTGAGGGAAGGGGGTCCCTCCCCCAGTACTGGGGAACCGTCTTCTGGGGCGGCGGGCAGGGTTCGGGGTGAAGCATGAGAGGCCGAGGGTGAAGCAGGGGGACAGCAGGTGCGCCAGGAGGCCCTAACATCCCTGCGCCTGGCACAGTGATGCGTGAAGACAAAGAGGCCCAGGGCTGAGGCTGCCACCCCATACAGACAGCTGCACACCACCCGGGGCAGCCAGCGCTGGGACACTGCCAGAGCCCCGCAGGCCCACATAGCCAGGTACAGGAAATGCGTGGTCATTAGCGCCCCCAGCTGGACTCCCGGAGAATAGAGTCGGTCACCATTCTCCGGGGGCCCGGGTGTCACCGCCCCTGCGCTCCCTGTAGCCAGAAGGGAACCGGAGTCACTCAAGAGGGCACCACTGCTCTTGAGTCTGGTGGAACCCCTCAGTTCCTCCCCTGGCTCCAGGGAGAGCCTACTGGTGCCTCCCTTTGGGCTCTGTGCCAGAGGACCCCGTAAATGTAGCCCCGCGCACAGGAAGTAGATCCAGGTGATCAGCAGAATCAAAGCCACCGGGATGTAGAAGGCGCCAAGGCTTGGACGCCAGACCAGCCAGCAGCTGAGGGGAGATTAAAAGAGGCAGTGAATGAGAGGGAGCACATCTGAGGTGGGGCCCACAGGTAGGATAGAGGAAGTGGAGAGGCAGAGCCTGGCTTAGCATGCGTGGACTTGGGTGGGGTCTCTGGCTGGGCCAGCCTTGGCAGGAGCCAGTGGAGTAGAGGCATGGAGGGAAGGGGGCGAGATGGGTAGGTTTGGGGCAGACAGGCAGCAGTAATGGGACCAGAGGGAATGATGCTCACTAGGGACTGTGGTCCCGGTAGTTGTGGATGTTGACGGCAGCTGTGATGCCGCAGATTATGAGTGGGATCCCTCCGGCAATTAAATAGAACCTGGAGGGGAATGGGGTTTGGAGGTCAGAGAGATGGGGAACCGCAAAAGGCAATGCTCAGAATCCTTGACTTGGTGTCTCCGTCCTTTCCTCCTTCCCCTTTCATTCTGTTAGAATTTTTATTATTATTATTTTTTGCTTTCTTTTGGAGGGGTTAGGGGAGAGACATGCAGGGATACAAGGTCCCTAAGGGCAGGCCTGTCAGGTCCCTCTAGAACTTGGCCAAGACTGTTTAAAGGGACAGAGGCCATAATTGCTTTCTCTGACCCTAAATGGTGCAGAAGTCAGGAGGCCACTCAGATTCTCTGCCAGGATACAGGGCAGAGAAGGGACACCTCCTTTGCTGGCCTTGTTATGCCTGAAAAACCGGCAGATGTACCCACTCCATAGCCTGTGCACAAGGCTTGCTGCTTCTGTTTTTGGAGAATGGTCACCCGGCGACCTTGTACCCACCCTGCTTAGATCCACCCTGGGAGCTTGGCTGCACCTGCCTCCGAGTCCCTCTCCTATTGCAAAGCTGACAGCTGGAAGTATGTACCGGAGCATGGGGCGGGGAGCAGGTGGGGCTGGGTCCCCTTCTTGCAGAGGGGGCGCCCTCCAGGTGAGCTCTTTGTGCAGGACTCGGGCCTTCACACCCATCCAGAGCAGTGTGGACAAGGAAGAGTAGTGCAGTGTGATGCCCACCTGCAGGGTCAAGGCACTGAGGCTGGGGTCCTGGGCTGCTCCAATGGGGCAACCCCTGAGCCTCAGCAGCCAGTATGCTCCCACTCCTCCCAGGGTTTCCAGCCCCACTCCCACCCCTACAGCTTTCTGTCCACCCAACCCACTTCCCAGGTACTCACCAAGCTTGTCCCTGCTGCTGTCCTCTCTACTTCCACCCAGGCTTCTCTCCCACCCCAGGGATTCTCTCGGCCCCAGCCACTGGCTGATCCCTGACTTCTCCATTGTGATCTCCAATGTGAAGCCCCATCTCCAATTTTCTCTGGCTTGGTTCTGACCACTCCACTCACCCTTACTCTCCACATTGCACCTCCCCCGCCCACCAAGGTTGGCACAGAGAACAATGGAGCTGGGGCTTGTTCCTATGCTGTGCATCTCCCTTCTGTGTACCCAGGCTGCCACCACTGATCTTGGAGCCCCTTATTCTGCTTACCGCCTGGCAGACCATCTGGTAGTTGGTGAGTGTGATGCCTCCCGCAAAGACGGCAGAGGTCATGGCCATGTGGAAACACAGATTCAGCAGCATGTGCCAGCCCTTCCGGGACACATGGATGGAGCTTGCCCAGAAAGAGTCTTTCATTAATGGGCTGCCCGATACAAGTTCAGGCCAATGGGGTCTCAAGGCGATTGGGAGAGCCAAAGGGAGAAGGCAGGTGTTTGTGTGCATGCATGCATGTGTGTGAATGTCACTGAAGCCATGGGAAAGAAATCCGTAACTCCAAAAATGTGTTCTCCAACCCCAGAACCCTCAGATACATGCTAGGCAAGAGCCTGGGCAATTCATATAGACTCCTCTAAAAAAGAAACACCTGCCAGTTCCTGGTGAGACCCACTGCCTTGCCCTTCTCCCTCCTTTCCTGTGGCAGCACCCACCTGTGGTTGAGGATATAGGTGATGATGGTGGAGAAGAGGCAGAGCAGTAGCAGGGCTGTACAGGGGTACACAATTGGATGCAGGCCAGCCCCAGAACCCCCTGCCTCCCGGGGAAAAGCACTCAGCTCCTGGGAAAGAGGAAGTAAGAGTTGAGCAGACCTTGCCTCTCACCCAGGCCAGTTTCTGTCTCTCTGAGTCCTGTCCACTTTGTAATGTGCCTTGGTGCTTAGTCCATCCAGGTAGGCAGATGGAAGCATTAGGACGTCCATTCTTAGGAAGTCAGCCTTAGGGTACACTGATGGTCTCCTGCCTGCCTTTCCCCCTTCTAGTGTCCTGCCTTTCTGGGGACTTTTCAGAGATAAGAGGAAGAAGGTTCTGGCTGTGACACAGTTATATGTCTGCTTACTGTCTGGGAAAGTAGGGTACAGAATATGAAGGGGGAGGGGATGGGCAGAAAGAGGAGAAATGACCCTGACTGTTCTCCACTTTAAGAACCTGGGTCTTGGGCTGGAGGAGTGGCTTACGCAGTTAGAGCGCCTGCCTAGCAAGTGTGAGGTCTCGAGTTCAAACTCGAATACTGCCAAAAAAAAAAAAAAAAAAGAATGAATGAATCTGGGTCTCAGAAAACACAGGATGTGAAGGCCAGGCTGGATGGTTCCAGATGCCCCCCGCCTTTCTTTGTGGTACTGGGGTTTGAACTCAGGGCCTACACCTTGAGCCACTCCATCAGCCTCTTTTGTGACAGGTTTTTTTTTTTTTTTTTTTTTGAGATAGGGTCTTGCAAACTATTTGCCCAAGTTGGCTTCAAACCACCTCACCTCTGCCTTCTGAGTAGCTAAGATTACAGGCGTGAGTCACCGGCACCTAGCCAGATCCATCTTTCTAGACATGAAAGTAGAGATAGGCTCTCCCTATCTCCGGGAAGATGGGAGAAGCCAGAGGGTCATTTCCCATGAACCCTGACAGTTACGGGGCTCAAGAAAGCTGCTGTCCTTTCTGTATTTCTCTGCGGTCCAGGTGACCACAATACCCCATTCATCGCGCCCACAGATTCTGTTCCCTTGCCTTCCCATCTCTTGGCCCCCACCATACCCACCATGAGCACAGCCACATTGCCCAAGTGCTGGCAGTGCAGAGAGCTGACGTTGGGCTGGCTGGAACGGAGCTGGCAGCCTTCGGAGCTCCAGCCCCCAGGCCCCTCCTGGCTCCACCAAGCTGCCATAGGGTCGGCCCCCTCAGCCCAGTGCCGCAGTGAAACAGCCACCGGCTCGGTCAGATTTCCCACGCCACAGCCACCTACGGGGAGAAGGAAGTTCACATGGATATACACAAGACTGTCAGGGAGACTGGCTTTCCTAAGCAGCTGCTGCAACAGCCAGGACATGCATGAGGCTCTGCCAAGCAAGGCACTGTGCTGAGCCTGGGCATGGAGTTGGATGCCAAGCACAGGCCTCAGCCTAACTGGGAAGAGTGCACAGGGGAGTGAGGAGGAGAAATAAAGGTATAAGTACCTAATGAGAGGTTGCTGACATGCTCCAGGAAAAGAGGACTTGGGCTGCAGTGCTCAGGGACAGAGAGAGAGGGAGCACAAGGCCAGGTGAAGGGAGGAGGGCACCCTGGAGAGGGGCAGCTGGCACCACATCAGGAAGGTGGGATGGAGGGGGGACAGGAGGAATTCCTAGCAAGAAAGAACTGTAGAGCTGTGAGGAGGAATGTGCCTGTAACTTGGGCCACACAGACCCCCAGCTACCCACCTATCCCCAAACACTTTCATCAGCCTGTGTGGCTGCTAACCCTGACTTTGACCCTTCCTCAGGTAAGGTATTCTTCAGGAAGGGCCTCCCTAGCCCCTAACTAGGTTCAGCCATCTTTGCTAGGTACACGCACCACTGCTGCTAGCTTCCAGTGACTTGTGTACTGCTTCTCTGTTGAAGAGTGCGCTCCTCAGGGACAAGGACACAGCTGTCTAAGCACAGGTGTGCCCAGCCCCCGCACAAACTGGTACCTGCCTTGTACTCATTGAGTGTTCCTGCCCAGAATGGAAAGAGCTCATTCTAAGAACAGAAAGGGACTCTAGTCCATATGGACAGCAACACCTTCTGGCTGTGAGAAGGGCACAGACCCATGACACAGGACCCAGAGTGGTGTGTGGCGAAAGGTAGATGTTCAGGTGATGGGGATCTACCGAGGCTCCGGAGGGGCTCTGATGTGCACAGTGGTGTTTTCAAAGGTGAATCTGGTGACAGTGTGGGGATGGACTAAAAATGGAGAAAGCCCAGCAGACAAGCCTAAGAGTTTAGAGGTTTGGTGCAAAGGTGGAACTGTAGAGAGAAAAACAAGTATGTGTGGGTGACTGGTCCCTTGGTGGATGTGCCAGCTAGCTAAGTGTGGCACTGCAGGTGACCACCTAAGTTACTGGGTTCCAGGTGTCAATCAAGGTTATGTGTCCTCACCCACCAGAGTTCTGCTCAGATCAACCTTTTGCCCTGGTCTCCACCCTCCCTGGTGTCTCTGCAAGTCCTGACCATCCCTCGAGGCTCAGTGTGGGGCAAGGCTGCAGCCTCTCTGTTTTATTTCTGGTAACGCCAAGGATGGTGCCTATGTGCTCAAGCTGTGTTGCTTGCCTGCTTGGGGCTTGTGTGGCAGTGCAAGGAGTGAGTGTGGGTTTAGGAGTTGTGTTGGAGAAAGTGGGTTGATGGTTTGTGCTTACAGTCCTCTTGAAGTGTGACAAACCTGGGATATAAATTCCAGAGTTGGGAATGTGGATGTAGCTCAGTGGTAGAGCTCTTGCCTTACAATGAGCGAGGCTTGGGTTCTATCCCTAGCACCATGGGATAAAAGACAAAGAGAATAGAGTGGCACATGATCCTATATTTACCCTGGTATAGCCCATAAAATCCAATGTCCTGAACTTTTCCTCCACCAATCCCTTCCTTTACAGGCCACCTCTGTCCACACCGTCCTTGGGAAGTGAAGGACGTGCCATCTTCTGCCACCTCTACCAGTGGAGTGGGGGCTGTGGGTGCAGGGAGGGCAGGATGAGGGGCCCAGGGCAACTGTGCAGGAGATTCAGTCCCTTACTGGTTCCTGCAAAGATGACAGGGGTGGCCACGCCGCGCCTCTTGCCAGGCCCAGCAGCTCCAGGGCGGGAGGTATTGCCATGGCTGCGGAAGAGGCGGCCGTTTCGGAAGACGAGTAGTTGTAGAGTGCAGTCTGGGGGGACTGGGGGAGCCAGGGCAGCCGGAAGGGATGAGAACAGGCTGGGGGGCAGCTGGATGGAGGCCAGGGCCACGCTGTTCTGGGGGGACACAGGAGCTCCTCAGAGATAGTCAGCACCCCTGGGCTCAGATGTCTTCCATCCCTTTACTGCTTCTCCTCTGCCCATCCCTGCTCCTCCCACCTTTCACCGATTACTCTCCAGACCCCGCCCCTCACACCCACCTTCCCGACCAGACACCTGCATCTCAATAGTAGCCTCTTAGCAACCTCCTGTCACTAAACCCCTTTCCCCCCAGTGCCCACCTTGATGTGGAAGGACGACAGAGAAATGTTGGGTCTCCCAGTTGTGCAGCGGAAGCGCAGCTGCTCATCAGCAGAGGGGTCAGGCTCAGGTGGGGCGTTCTGGCCAGGACCCAGCCGTGTGCCTGACATGCCTACCTCCTTCCTCTGGAAGGCTGTGCAGGTCAGGCCCACATAGCTGTGCGGCTTGATGAGGTAGGCCTCCAGTGCCACGTTCCTCGAGTTCTGGACACAGGGAACTTGTCACCCCACCGTCTGAGATCTGAGACCACACAGTCCCTCTCTACATGGCCCTTCCTCCTCCTCAGGCTGTGCACACCCTGCCTTCTACCTTGCTCACCTCTTAACCCACGCTAATTCTGTTGCCTCAACTCAGCTGTACCACAGGGTCCATGTCTACCCTTGTTTGTATCTCCCAAAGTGCTAAGTATCATATCTTACATGCAGACGATGTTTGGTGTTAATTCCACCAAACTGGAAATGCCACCCTCTCTGCAGAGAACTTCCAATCAAGTCTGCCCTCCATCAAAAGTGCTGTCTGCCTGAGACCAAGCATTCCTCCTACTCTGTTCCCATTTCCTCCTATTTATTTCCACACGGCTAGTCCTTCAACTCAGTTCTCCACTAGAGCGTCTTACACAACTTGGGCATCGCTGGCCCCCTTTCCTTTACACTACTCCCTGACACCCCAGAATTTAGCCCCACCTGCTGTTCTTGCTAGCTGGAGCCTGGCAACTGCACCAGGGAGAGGGAAGTATTTCTCTTCTGTGGATCACAGGGCTGGCCACTGTCGGCTCTGAGGTCCTTCCCAGTGCTCAGCTCCTAAGGACCCCCACATAATTACCACAGAAATGTGCTGGGCGTGAGGGCTGAGCGCAGCACTCCCGATGCGCTCCAGGGCACCGACGATGCCACTGCAGGCCTTATCCTCACGCTGGGCCAGCCACAGCAGGTGCTCATCCACCAGCATCAGGTTGCTGGCCATGTCCACCATCACCTCCACCAGCTGGGGACAGGGGACACAAAATGGTCACAGGGCGGCAGGGGGTTTGAGACCCAAGAGCTGGGGTGTGGGAGGGGCCTGAGCCAATAGCAGGGTGGTTTCCAGGAGTTCAGGAGCACTAGTTGAATCTCACCTCTTTGATCTGGTCGACATAACCCAAAAATTTCTGGATCATCTGAGCCACATAGACCACATCCATCATGTCCGAAAAGCCGGCGGCCTCAGCTGTGTACACTCGTAGCTGGTGAGCTAGGGTCAGCGCGTTGGAGGCGTTGATGGGCATCTGGGGGTGTTTGGGGAAGATAGAACCATCCCATCTTGTTCCTTCTGTTCCAGAACTGCCTCTCAGGGCCCCTGTTCTCAGTGCCCCTGTAGGCTGAGTATAGTCAAGATCTAAGGTACATATGAGCTCCTGCTCATCATAGCCCAAGGCCACCCACTTCCAGCACCACAGACCTAAGGACAATGGCAGCATGCCTCAATGTGTTGGTAGATAAAGGCAGGAGGGAGATGGGATAGAGGCCTTGTGGGCATGAATCTCCTGGAAGAGGGAAGCTCCAGGACAGCACGACAGGAGAAAGTGCCGGTCTCTGACACCTCATGGTCAGAGAGGCATGAGCCTCTCACCACATGCCTGAGAGCAGAGGCACAGCAAAGCAGCCTTGAGCTGGGCTATCCGCCTCCACTGGGCCTCAGTCTTCATCCTGTCTCATCCCCAGAACCAGAGATGGAGGGGTGCCCCACCCCTCCTCTCCTAGCCTCACCAGCACAAAAGTGTAGAGCACCCGGGTGATGTCATTGGTGTACAGACAGTGGGAGTAGTCTCCCGGCTCCCAGCGGCCACCTCGGTCACAGCGGCGGGAGGCTCGGGTGCCTGGGGCACCTCCACTCAGAGGCACCGAGGTGAAGGGATACTGTAGGCAGGACTGGTAGGCTGTGATGCCAGCCAGAGTTCGAGGCCATCTGCAGGCAGAGGTAGGAAGGTGCTATGACCCAGACTCCTTAGGACAAACCTCCCCCACCCTCACCCCAACCCCTAAGAATTGTGATGCCAGACCCCTGGGGCTTGGGGAAAGAGTCAGGACAGAGGTGGCCTTCAAGTTCTACTTTCTTACTGAGTTTGTTCTGACAATTCTATTCCTGTGGGGGTGGACACAGAGGTCTGAGGTCAAATCCAAATTCTGCCTCTTTGTAGCTATGGCCTTAGGCAAGTCACTCTCCTTTCTGGAGCTCAGTAGTCTCTACAATGCAGAGAATAATACCTACCCTGCCACACAGAGAGGGTCATTGGAATATTAAAATGTGATTTTTAAATTTTATTTAATTAATTAATTAATTTATTTTTGGTGAGAAGCAGGTGCTCTAATGCTTGCGCCCCACCTTCCATCTATTTTGCTCTGGTTATTTTGGAGGTGGGGTCTCGTGAACTATTTGCCTGGGCTGACCTTAAACCTCGATCCAATCCTCCCAATCTCAGCCTCCCAAGTAGCTAGGATTATAGGCGTGAGCCACCAGCACCCAGCTAAAATGTGATGTTGTTTGGGAGAAACCTTTGCAAACTACTAGTGTGAGGAAGCAACTAAAAGCCTTTCTGTTCAGTGCAGCACACCTCAGATGGTGACTGTATCCATAACAAGGCTTCTTGAAATGCAACAGCTGGACTTTAGGCTGAATGACAAGACAGCATCTCTGGGACTCAAGGAAGAGAGGAGATGGGGAGCTCCTGATCAAAAAAGCAAGGGTGAGGGTCAGGAGCAGCATGTGGTTGGACAGTGCAGAGCCAAACCTGAAGTCCCCACGGTTGTTGGCCACACGCTCCGCTGGGCAGTAGGAGGCAGAAGTTTCCAGCACCACGATCTCCACCCTCTTGCTGGCATTGCCCTGGATGGTAGACACTGAGCACTCCCATTCTCCTGAGGCCCACACACCGATGTGAGACAGGGTCAGCTCGCTGTGGGTGAGGTGGGGCTGGCTCAGTGACATGCCCTTGGGCTAAGCCCCCCACTGCCCTCAGTGGCCTTGGCCAGCCCCACTATGGGTGCCCTGTCCTCTGTTGGAAGGAGGAGTACAAGGGCCTTATGGTATTATTTTTCTGAATTTCAATTTCCCTGTCTGTATGATGGAGATAATCACATTTCTTGCAGGTCTACTACAGAGATTAAGCCTGACAATTTAGACATTGTAAAAACACCAAAGACAAACCACAGAACCACAAAAAAAAAAAAAAGACCTAAAGAAATGTCAAATGTCACTTTTTTCTATCAGGTGTTTAATTTCTAATCTCTATTCAAACCATTTATGATTGAGTCTTAGCTCTCCATAACGCAAATGCGTGTCTCTCTCTCTCTCTCTCCTCCCTCCCTCTCTCTTCCCCCTTTCTTCCCACCCTGCCCCCAGGAGAATGTCTCTTTGGGGGTGAGGAATGGGAACTGTGACTGAGAAAGGGCTGTGGGATGTGTACCTGGTGATGAAGGTACAGTCATGGATGAGGCTCTCGGCCAGCACGATGCCTGCCTGCTCATTGCCCTCCACCAGAGCCCGGTTGTGGTACCAGTTGATGTGGGTGTCATTGCCCAGGTAGCTGGCAGAGCACTGGAAGGGCAGCCGGTCACCCTGGAATACCACTTGGCGCAGCGATGGAATGAGGTCGTGTGTGTGCAGCTCCAGGGCCCCCTCTGTGGAGGAGATGGCATGTGCCTGAGTGCATGTTGAGGGAGAATCCAGCAGGGCATGGTGGCCCTCTGCCTTCATGGGCTGGGAAGGAAAGAAGTCAAGAGAAAGCCTCGGAGGTAAGAGCAAAGGAGAGGGTGGTAGCCCAGGAGGTGGGACCAGATGAAAATATAAGCAAACAGTCAGTCCCAAAGGAGTTTTAGAAAAGCCAACGAAGTGCTGGGATGGAGCTCAGAAGTAGGACGCTTGCCTGTGGAGATGTGGGAAAGGAAGACCCAGAGGACACTCCCATTAGACAACCACACAACCACTCAGGGCCAAGAGATCCTTAAGCCACTGGGCTGTGGGTGAAGAACAGGGCTCTGTGCCTTGGGCCTGGGCATGCAGGCCCAAGATTTGCTCACCGCAGCGGAGCTGGTCCTCCTGGAGGCTGCCCAGGGCCTGGGCACGTAGGGAGCTGGGATAGGCACAGAGTGTGCGTTCTGACAGCTGCAGGGAGTGGTTCCGGGCCCAGGGCAGCAGCCAATGCAGGTGGCAGTCGCAAGTCAGGAACTCTGTTCCGAAGTCCCTGCAGAGCCAGCAGAGGGGTCACAGAGTAGAGCAGAGGCAGCGTGGGTTCCTGAGCAGGGATGGGACTGAGACTGGCCTGGGCTGCAGCAGGTAACTTTGGTAACTCCTACCCCTCCCTATCTGGGTATCGGTGAATCGGGGGTATTCCAGGTAGTTTGTCTGCCTATGGCCCAACTGGCCACGACAGTCACAATGCTCAGGTGTCTCCCTCCTGGACAGAGGAGGGAAGCAGGGGCTGCTCATGGCTGGAAAGATACTCACACCACCTTAAGGGCTGGCAGCTCATCAAAAACTCTGGGTTGCAGACTGGAGAAGATGTTTCCAGATACGTTTCTGCAGTGGGCAAGGAACAGTTAAAGGGGATCTTAGGCTCTCCCTGGGTCAGAGGAGGGGAAGGGCAGGAGGAAGGGACACAGGGACCTGCAAGGGTCTGCACTGCGTTCTTCCTCCCAGGCCCTCCATCCAGGCTGAACTTCTGCCTTCCCTCCCCTTTCCCTTCTTCCCATTTGACTCCATCACTCACAGTCGGAGAAGCCTGGGGAGGCCCTGGAAGGTCTCAGAGGTGAGACAGCCAATCCGGTTGTTGGAGAGATCTCTAGGGAGACACACTCAGCAAGTCGGCTACACAGTAGCACACAGATCCACTTGTGAGGGATCCATGTGTGCTGCTGGGGTTTGTGTGTGGAGGGACTTGGGCCCAGTGCCACAGTGGTGCTGGCAATGCCTACATATTTGACCCCAACAGTGTCCTGAGTGGAGGCTGGGAAGCTGAGAAGGGACACTGGAGGGTGGTCAGGAAGGGATCTGGGTCTATCTCCAGGGATAAGGGGAGAGCTGGGAGGCAGGGGGTGGGAGTGGGGAGGGGGCAGGACATGCCACTCACAAGCGCTTCAGCTCCCCCAGGCCCAGGAATGCTCCAGGTTGTACTGTGCTGATGACATTGTTTCTCAGATCCCTGTGGGAGGCAATGCAAGACACTCATACCTCTCCCTGTCTCAGGGCCACTAGGCTCCTTGGACAGAGTGTCCTCCTTGTCACCACAGGTGCTGGCTTTCTTTAGGATTTGATTTCCTTCTAAACCTCTGCTCTCCTCAGCACTGTTGGGAAAGCTGCATTAGGACCCCTCAGACAGGTTTCTTCACCCTTCCTAGCCACCACTATGGGGTACTAACCAGAAAAACATTAGGGATGATGGGATGTAGTGAGATGGGAAGAAAAGGGCCTTGTGTGAGGAGGAACCCCATGGAAACAGGGAGTGGATAGAGCCTGGCACTGGGATGTATCAGCCTCTATCTCCCTTATTGCTCCACCTCAGATTTCTTCATGGGCCTAGAAGGAAAGATTAGTGGCTGGTGACTGGGAAAATGGAATCTGTCCTATCCACAACTCCAAAGCAGGTGCACAAATGGTGGGTCCAGCCTCCTTATTCTTCAGATGAGGTTGAGGATGCTACTGCTCAATTAAGGTTCTCAGCCCTGCCTTTTCTAGTGGGTCTCTTAGGAGCCCAGTGCGTAGAGGTGGCAAGGAAGGCACCTCCAGGCTGAGCAGGTCACAGATAGGACAGAAGATGGCTCTAGGGACAAAACTCACCCATGTGGAGGGGTGAACTGCAGGTGAGTCCTCCCAGTAGCCTCTGACACTAAGTCTGGTGTTCAGACTCCACCTCTCCAGTCTCCCTCCCTACTGCAGAATCTGCAGGTCATTCCTGCCCACAGAGGATCTCCTGATACCTATCTAGGAACCCATCCCACCCCCTACATAGACCTCTGGGCTCTTGGGGGACCACTGAGAACCAAGGTGGCTGCTGGTCCACCTATCCTCTTCCACACTCATCTTCCATGGTGAGCACGGACAAATAAAAAGGTACCTAGACGGTGGGAGTCATCACCTACCTACTCAAGGGTCACCTTGGTCTTTCTTGAGCCAGACCAGGCTTCAGACCCCACAGGATACTTGCCAGGGGCTCACAGCTCAGTGGACATCCTCTGCCCCACTCAAGTGCCAGGAAGAGTAGGAGACAGAAGGTGAGGGTGGGTGACTCTGCTAGAATAACCCCTGTCAGGGGGGCCTGGGGCAGGAAGACAGGATTGTAAAAGAGATATCTGGGGTTAATCTGCTTTTCAAGGCCCTGCTACCTCCAGCTCAGACAGAGGCAGGGGTCCTGGCTCAGCCTGCCAGACCCCGGGGTCGCAATGAATTTGGGCAGGAAGGGGTTAATCAAACCTGTTCCCTGCTGGATGAGAGGAAATGAGTGTCCCGGAGGTGCTGTCCCACTAGGGGTCCTGTTTGTGCAGTCTCACTTGGGAACAGAAATACCCAGAGAGAAGGGGGGGAGGGGGGGGGAAGGGAGAGAAAGAAGGATGAAATATTCTGCTCAGCCCTTCCCATGGCCCCTTATGCCTCAATGCCCTCTCCCATGAAGGACTCAGCCGACTCCCTGAGTTCCCTTGAGAAAGAAAGGAAAGCCACCAGCAGGGCCAGTGTCCTAGAAGAAGCCAGAGTTCTGGGACGGTGTCCCCGGTGGTGCAGGGAATGTGCAAGACACTGGCCCTAGAACACACTGCTTGTAGCATGGAGAAGACCCAGGATAAGTGCCCCTCTGTGTGTGTGAGGGCGGCACCCTTCCTGTACACTCTCCCCTTCTGCTGCCAGACGCCCCCACCAGCTCGCTCTCTGGGGTTGTTCCAGCATGTGCCCCCTGGCCTCTGTTGGGGTCTGGCCAGTCTCAGGGCTCTGCCTCCCACCCCGATGTGGGACAGGGAGAGGGAAACACATTCTTCATTGTGTCACTTCCCTTCATGGGCTGCCAAGGGGCTGAGGCCGCAGCCCCCCACCCCTTCCCTCTCCACTTGCTTGTGTTTATTCTCATGTCCTCCCCAGTTCCCCCCACCCAGCTGCCCCATGGATGCTCTGCAGATGGGAGCAAGGCGGCCCCTCAGCCTCAGCCCCTCTCCCTGCCCTGTTTCCTGCAGCCTTGGCTATGTAGAGCCTCTGACAGAGCAGCTTCCACCAAGTTTGGTGTTCTTTCCCCTAGCCTCCAGCCAGCTTGCATTGTGGCTTCGGGGGTGACCAAGGCGGTCCTGTGGAGTCTTAGAGGGAATGGGCCAGTCCTGGTTCTGCTCCTGGTTCTTGGGGCACAAGCCAGGGGCTGGTCCTGGGATGAGCTCTGACAGCTAGTGGGCCAAAAGCAGCTCATACCTCTGGGACCCACTGAGTGAGGGAGTAGCTCTGGGGCTGTGCTGTGCTTCCCTAGGGACAGGAGGAAATGCCACCATAGGACTTGGCTATTTTTTGGATCTGCAAGGCCTAAATCAATTTGTTGAACAAGAGTTCAACACATCCTTTGGAAAAACTGACAAAGCCATGGGCTCCCGCCACAGAAAAATGTATAACACCCGACACTGTGCACACTGTTTCCGGGCCTTGTGGAACCCAGGCTAAAAGCCCTTGTTCCAGATTGTCTAAGCTGATCCTCTCATTCCTTAGTGAGGCCACAGGCTAAAGTAGCTCTTCAAGGATGTTTCTACAATGTGGAATCTCTTACTCTCTGTCTCTGCCACAAACCTGGGAAAAATGTAGTGTATGGATGGAGCTTTCCCCTCTCCACTGCCCTTTGCCCAACCTGGACTATGATTTTGCTCCCTTGGTACACCCCTGCCCCTGTACTCATGTCAATATGGAGGAGAAGGACCCCCAAAAGCGGAAGTGGATGGAGGGTTTCTGGGAGCAATTGTGTCCTATGCCCTTCTTTGGAAAACAGTCTCACAGTATGTGAGCCCAGCAATAAAGATTGAGGTTAGGCATGCACCCCAGTACTTGGGAGGCTGAGGATGGAAAGTTCCAAAGCCAGCCTGGGCTACAGAGGGAGACCCAGTCTCAAAAAACCAAAAAGCAAACCAGGTGCTGATGGCCTACACCTGTAATCCTAGAGCTTGAGGAGTGGGATCATAGTTTGAGGCCAGCCAGGGAAAAAGTTTGTGAGACCCCATCTCAAGTAATAGCTGGGTGCAGTGTTGTGTGCCTGTCATCCAGGCAGGAGGCTGAGACCAGGGGAATATGTTTCCAGGCCAACCCCTGGCAAAAAAAATTTGCAAAACCCCATCTCAACAGGAAAAAAAAAAAAGTTGGGAGCAGTGGCAGACACCTGTCATCCCAGCAATGAAGGGAAGCTTAAAATAGTTAGACTGTGGTCCACACCGGCATGCTGGCCTGGACAAAAAGTAAAACAATATTTCCAAAATAACCAGAACAACAAACAACAACAAAAGCCAAACAGGGCTGGAGCCATGCAAAACCCTCAATTCAAATTCAACTTTTTGCCCTAGTACCAAAAAAGAAAATGGTAGGTGAAAGTTCGTAACAAGTGGAAACCACCTAAATGTCCACCAACCGATAGACACAAATGTGGTATATTCATCTAATGGAACACTATTCAGCCACAAAGAAGAATGAAGTACTCTGGGTACAAAGAGTGCTAAAACATGGATTAACCTGGAAAATATTAGGCTGGTTAAAAAAATCCAGTTATAAAAGATTACATATTGCATGATTCCATTTATATGAAATGTCCATAATAGGCAAATCTATAGAGACAGAAAGTACCTTAGTGGTTGCTTAGGGCTGGGGAATGGTGGGGTGGAAAAATGGGGAGTGCAGCTAATGATTCAAAGTTTCTTTTGTGGATTATGAAAATGTTCTAAAATTAGATTATGGTGATGATTACACAATCTGCAAAATACACGAAAACCCATTGGATTGTGCACTTTAAACGGGTAAACTTTATAGTATATAAATTATATCCCATTAGAGCTGTTAAGTATGACTGTGTGTGTGTGTGAGAGAGAGAGAGAGAGAGGGAGAGAAGGAAAGAGAGAGAGAGATTGAGAATGTGTGAGAATGTTCAGACAGGGTGGGGTGGCACAAAATTGGCTCCCTCTGGCCCCCCTAGACCTCCCTGCTTGTGGGTTTAAAAAACAAATTACAGGTTTGTTGGCCACAGAGCAGTTTTCTCTGGGCTTCTAGGTTCCCTAGAAAGTGTAGGCTGGCTGCGAAACAGGCCAGAACACCCCTGCAGATACAGAGGCTGTCTGAGGCACCTGGAAGTCCACCAAGGTCCCAGCCTCCCTCCTACCCTCTATCTCCCACCTTCCATCTTCCAGGGACCCTTCTGCCTCTGATATCATCCTATAGGCATTTATTGAGCACATACACTGTGCTGGGCACTGGGGCTAACAGCAAACAAGAAAGCTGTCTCTGAATTATTAGCCTTCCTCCCCAGGCCTCAGCTGTGCCAGAGCCAAGGGCAGCATCTATGGGGCATTCCTCCCCAGTGCTGGTGGGGATGAGAACAAGGGAAAGGAGGGAGACACAGAGCCCCAGGCCTCACCCTTGGCCACACCCACAGATTAATGGAAACCACCTGGTCTGAGCAAGCCACTTCATCCCCAGGCCCCCACTTGCCTTGTTCCCATGAGCATCTGCTTCTAATGAGTGCTCCAGCACCCGCTGCATACCAGCCCCTGGGCTCATTAATCTCATTAGGCAATGACAAATCATCCTGGGCTGACCGGGCTCCCCTCCCCGGGCCCTTTGCTCCAGCCTCCCACAAACCTCTGCGGGCCTGTGTCCATATAGAGCCACACATCCTCAAGCATGTCTGCTCCCTTGGCCTCTTCTGGGGAGTGTCCTGTGGTCTGCTGGGTCCCTGGCCCAGGGGTATCTCACTGTGACCAGAATACCCTCAAAGCCCCTGGAGTTTTCTAGGAGCCTGCTCCCCATGGCATGTGCTTGCTGAGAGGCCTGGACAGAAAAGGGAGGGACCAGAAGAATGAGTCCTGGATCTACTTCTAGCACTTACATTTCTGTCCTTGGGTGGTGGGCCTCAGCGGTAGAGCATTTGCCTAGTTATAAGGCCCTGGGTTGCATCCTCATGTTTCAGGTACATTACTGCCTGAA